TTCCCAGTAAACAACGGTTGTTTAAGTACCTTAGCAGTAGACCTAGGACACCGAGTACCCCTCTAATTGACTTGAGCCTTCTGGACCAAGCCACGAGTATATCTATAAATTAGAGTTAAATTTGCTTGGCATCTGGTGATAAGCTGAAAGTACATAAAGTATATGGCATAGTATCTATAAAGCATGAAAAACCAGATTTAATAGCCCTTAGTTTGCATTCTTTCGATTAATTAATTTACTTAAACAGAGTAGTCATAAAGCAGTAAGTCTTTCTCGACACTTGGCTTCTAATAGCTACTACCATAAAAATGTTTATTTTCTCCCTTATAAAAAATGTTTATTAATATTTATGTGAAAAACTACAACAAAAAATAATATTATTTTAAAGTTTTTAATTAATTTAATTTCTAACTTAAAAACCTGAAAAATAATTTTTTACTCTGCCAGATCAGTACTACTGCACCTTATGGACATAAAATTAGTTATAGTTAAATGAAAATTAAGAAGGAAATTAATAAGAGCATGCCTTCCAGGGTACATTATGCAAAAACCTGGAGAGTATAACTTTCTTTTGTTTTTCTGTTAATTATAGATTTCAAAAAACTAATATAGCGGCGTAACTGTTTGTTTAACCCTTTAACGGGCAAACTCTGGGGCTTATAATAGAATTGTTTTTTTTCTGTAAAATCACCTCCTATGTTGAAACTATAAAGTCCAATATTTGTTTTCAAAATTTGATTCTATATATCCCGATTAATATTTCAAAATAAAATTGTAAACAAGTGTTTAGTTACCTATCTAACCAAGAATAAACCTTATATCCAGAACACTTTATTGTCCAACAAAAAGAACACGCAATACATGCTCACTTAACGTTCATTGGTAACTAAATTTACCACATTTTTTTTACTATTTGCTGTCTAATTTGTGAGGACATGGTTGTTTCAGAACCAAGTCTGTTGTATAGGGTAAATTTCCATAGACCTACCCTTGTAATTTGAACCTACGCGAAGGGATAAACATAGTAACCAGTAACCTATAAGGAGTTAATATAAACTATGACTCAAAGCCATACGTTACTCAATTAGTCCCCTACACCACATAGGCAAGCGTTGTTTTAACGAGTTACAGCACCGCAGGGTCTCGAGATTCTTGTGCTGAAATAGTTAATAAGCCAACAAAACCAATGCAGTTTATTTTGAAAGAAAAGTCCAAAGAAAAATACATTATCAACCTGAAACCTCTCGGTCTTTTAAATAGATTCTTGACTGGTAGCTATATATTACTTGAAGAATAAGTTTGTAAGGAAGAGTTTTTATCTATACTGACCCTTATCCTCTACCTTCGTCTTCTTCTCATTATTTTAACAATCTAGCTCCTTTTTTTATTATCTATTTTTTTATGAAGGTAATAAAACCCTCCATAACCACTATACTAAACCAAGTCGTGGATATCACCAATAAGATATTATATTTAAAAGAAATAAGGTCTAAGATTACTTCGTTGTTTCTTGTACAAATCAGTTTCGTTGAGTATAGCTTAATAATGTTGGTGTCCCACACTTCCGAGAAAGGAAAAGGTAAAAATACAGTTAATTCAAAAGGTTTTCAGTCAATTCCGTGAAGCTTGTCCAAGATTTTTTCTCTCTAGCCCTTTATATTCCGGTAAATTTCGTTTTCTTTTGATTTGGTTAGCCACAGCTAGTTTAGGGAGGTGGCGCAGTCCGTTTATCTTAAATTTTGGCTATTCGCCCTTTTTTAACGGAAGGTCAGAAACTTAAATAGTCGGATTTTTTTTTCCATAGCAAAGTGTAGCTTGCACTGCACTGCACTATCTTCAGGTTTTGAAAGAGGATCCCCAATGGTCAAATTTGCTTACGGTCGCCACTGTCAACCTAACTCGGTATACTATGCCATTAATAATAAAATCTTAATAAAGGGGTTGGGTGCTTACACTCTTGGTTTTTATAATATCATATTTTATTTCCCTAGCAAGCTTTTAAGTTCCCAAATAGATACGTCGTTATATTCTAGGGCTCTAAACCAGCACTTTCACAGGTGATCAGCTAAGCCTGCGGCCTTTCAAATTAGAAGTAACTTAAACAATAACATAAGTTCCTAAAGTAGTTTTATTATTTGTGTATACTTCACCATGTCTTTTACGAATGTTAGCGCCTTTCACACTGGTCGGGTTGCATTCTCTAAATAAAAGCACTTTTAGTGCGCTGACAATCTAAATGGCTGGTTAAATCATGTCCACAGTCCAAGATAGTTTGAAGCTTAATTGTTTAACAGTGATTCAAGTTGCATGATAATAGTTAGTGCTGTGAAAGGGACAGATTTAATTTTTTATTAGTTTTAAACTAAAACAAGTATGATAAGCTCTTTAGGACAAACTAAACTCAGTAACGGAGAGGTAGACTTGCTTTAGAAGAATAAACACTTAATATAAAAACTAAAATAAAAGATAAGGTTACTAGCATAGAATTAAATTGTTAACTTATCTAACAGTATATCAAGATAATGAAGCAGAAATTATTGAAAAAACAAGGATCATAAAATTTAAAGGTTCTCTTCCTATGGCGGCAACTTAAAAAGGTCTTAAGCGTGAGATATTATTCAAATGAACTTTTTATTTGCAAGCTGAGCTTTACAGGAAAAGTCATTTAGCTGCAACTGCCGATAGCTTAAAGGCGCTAGGATATTTACCAATCTTTTACAGGTTTATGGAGAAAAAAACTTTTAAACCCGGGAATACGCTCACTATCCATTCTTTCGAGTAGAGCTATTTTTATAAACATTTTACGCGGTTCAATCGTGGCAAATATCTTACACTGAAATTACTTAAGTTAATCCCTGGAATAAGATAATCCAGTGTGCGCGGAGACTTTTTTCCAATAAAAGTCATCAACATTTGTTTAGAATGTAAATGAATCGTGAGCGAATTAGGTGTTAGTCTTAAAGAATAACATTAAAACTTTTAAAAAATCCACACTGTCATCAGGAGTGAATATTATGCAGAGTGATAAGATGACCACACTAAACCATTAAGGAACATTAACCTTACAAACAGTAATATATCTTTAAAGTCTGAAATGGATATTCCAGATCAGGGACCTATTGGTTCTCTTCATTACCTTGCATATCTTAAAGTATTTATGTTCGTCTTAGGATAATTATAGCCAATAATGACAATTATAACAATCAGTTTATTAATGCTTTTTATGAGTGTGCATGTGCATGTACCGCGCCGTGCAGCGGTTCAATAAACTCGTGTCTGCTTCTTTCCTGCTTCCACATCATTGGCGAGGGCGCTATAGTTAATATATATTATACTACCTGTTCTGAGGGCAAAAATTAGCCATGAGGCCAATAAACTTTTCTTAGCGTACTGAATATTTACTAAATACATTGTGAGGTATTTACTGAAACTGAACACTGAACACTTAAAATAAATCACAGAAAAAGCAATGTTCTAGCACTAGAAGCTTATAGCGATAGTGACTACGAGAAAAGTATAAATATGCAAGCCTGTTACGAACAAAGGTTTAATGATTAACCGGTAATTTAGAAGTTAGTTATACAAAAGCTACCCTTTTTCTCTACGATAGAACTCGAAGGGATGGCCAAATCGTGAAATAACGAATGAGGGCTATGTGGCTAATATTTGTCTTGAAAGAGGTTAAAGTATTAATCATTTTGTTAACCTCGAGCATGATAATAGTCCAAGCTTAAGGTGTGCAATGAACCTTGACTCATAAAAATTCAACATTATATATTTTAATTTGCTATTTTAGAACCATGGATGAACTAAATATTAGCTTAGTTTGTTTAGACCAAGTGTCTTGAAAGGCTAACTCAATCACATTTGTACCTAAAGTTCCTACTGTTAAGCTGTCTAATAAAAGTTAGGACCGTAGTGTTATAGTAAAACTACTTTAAAACCTACATATAGTTCGAATACGTTCCACACCGATATTGATACTCACGGTATGAGGCTTAAATGAGTTTGCTCTCGCTCCACTATTTTTTACTTGTTCCTCTTTAATTGTTGCCGGTGATTTTATATATATATGTACATTTATCTTTGAAACATATTTTATGTTTATATTCATCCGAGGCTAAAGCCTTTAAATAGACAAGAAAAATCGGGTGTTGGAGAGCTTTAATCTCTGTGAAGTTTAACATATGGCGTTGGCTCGTGGTTACAGAGTTATTACCAGCAAAACCTAAAGAGAAGACCGAGTTTCGTCAAAATTTAAAAATACTAATTTTCGTTAACTCTTACTTCCCGAGCAAAAATCTAGGGTATTAAAAATTGGAAAAGTTCGCACTTTTATAAGTTGAAGATTTCGCTGTAATCTAGCTTTACTACCGTCTTTATATTATACACTCTAAAAGTTTATAGGCATTTATTTGTCACTTGAGAGCTACTTAAAAAAAATTTATACTTCATCCACTGACGTAAATTATTAGAACTAAGATCGCTGAATAAAATGATTAATAATATGTTTTTATTATTTAATACTCGTTTAGATTGGGCCAAATTATTTAAGTATGAACAAACAGTTAAATTTGTTAAGCTTAACAGTTAAAAATTACAAGTTTATAGCCTGTGTGCCTTTTTAGTAGTTTTTTATGAAAATGAAAATGTTTGGAAGTAACTAAAATTTTTCATTTATGAGAGTAACGTACTATGCACTTTACCACAATGTACGTTAAAAAAATATGTTAAGTTTGTGAAGTAGGTCATCACATCTTTGGTGAAGTGTAAGAAAAATTTTTTATAGGCTTTTTTAGATAATAATCTTTTGTGTCGCCCCGAAACCAAGCTTGAAATTATATAAACCCAATAAAAATACTGCGGTAGTTCCAGGTTTTTTTACAAAAAAATTACCGTTGGAAAGTTTGACCGCTTTGATGGATTGTACGACGTTGTTTACCTAAATTTAGGCGACCAGAACCAAGCAAAACCCACCAAAAATTATTTTGACAAGTGTAGGCCCCTCACTTTCCAATCTTAAGCCGCATTTAGGTCAAAATTGTTCGGCCTGGTTTAAGCCTTTTTATATTTCAGTAAAGCTATATTCGTGTTTTTAGAAAAAGGTAATATTATTATATGTTTTAAGAAGGCAATGAGTGACGCTCAAATTGACTACGCTCTGGATTTGATGAGAAGGCTCCCTCCCCAGAGGACGCAAGAAAATCTAGGTACTTTTCAAACTTTTTATTCTCTAATAAAGTTTATTTAATTTAAGCATCATTCGTTCTTTTATTTTTTATGGTAATTTAAACAACTTGTCTAACGGTTTGTCGATTACTTTATAGCAAACCTGTTAGATCTTGTTCCTCTAATTGGTGAAAGTTTACTTTCGATGATTGACCAGCCTTTAAAAATAGCTAAAGACGAAAAGAATGGTAGAAGTTACCTTCTTTGCGATTATAATAGAGATGGAGACTCTTATCGGTATCTCTTCTGTGTTCTTAATTTAGCAACCCTGACTGTTTTATAATAACAATAAGTTCCCCTTGGTCCAATCAGTACTTTCCAGAAATTGAAAATGGTGCACTCCCCTCAAGTAAACTTAGAGACTTGGAACTTGTGTCTGTATTACAAATTTTGAAGTAGGTGCCTTAACTCTAACCCCGCTATATATTAGAGCTAACGATGCTTTTGAAGTTTATCGCGAGATGTATTATGAGTCTGGAGTTTCTTCAGTGTATTTTTGGGACTTAGATAAGGGTTTCGCCTGTGTCGTTCTGATTAAAAAATGTATATATACTTGTAAATATTATTTATATCATAACTTACTCGAACGGCGTTAGCTGGGGATGGATCCCGTAGCATTAAAGGTTGCTGGGACGCCATCCATGTCTTTGAAATTATAGAGAAAGGGAAATCTGCTCTTTATCGGTTGACTTCGACTGTTATGCTTTGGCTGCAAACAGACAAGCCAGCCTCTGGCACCATGAATCTTGGCGGGAGTTTAACCAGACAGGTTTTAGAAGAGTGTTTTATTTTTCAACGCTACTGTTGCACTGCCCATCACCCTTTTATTTTTTACAGGAGGAAAAAGACTATCCGTTATCCGAATTTAATATGCATGTCCCTAATATCGGGCGTATGGTCGAAGAAATGGAAAATAAAATGAGAGGTTACTTGAGCGAAATATACTTTTCGAAAACGAAGGTTGTTTATTACACCTTAACTCGAGTTAATAGTCAAACTTATAGTTAAGTATGCTTCAATAAAGGACGTTATCAACGACATCCGCAAAATGCAAGGCGTTCGGCACGGCCAAGCCATGAAAGCCATGCAGTCAGAGCTAGCTGCAAGTCTTGCTCGCAGAAACAAGTGACACGATCGTTTCCCCATTTGGTTTCGGGAACAATAAAAGTGACTTTTCATGGTTACCACTACATTTTCGTGGTTACGACATTAAAAAGGCAACTGAACAGGTAATACTAATAGTAAAATAGATTTATTGAAACTCAAGTGTTTTACCACTACTGAAGCGCAACTTCTCGCATCACTCTATCGCTTGCTCTAAAGGGCCAAAAAGGTGTTCACATTGGCTTCTGTTTATTAAAGAGGATGTTGCGCTATAGTAGAGCAGCTAGACAGCTGTTGTACCCAGTCAGGGCGGCCATGTCGATCTCAATTTTGGTATTCTTGAGAAATCCCGGTTCGTGCAATAACTTAGTAGTGTTAACGGCGGCAACCCTGGAAGCGGGCCGTAGCGGTCGAGAGGGCAGACAGCCGCCACTGCTGCTGCTAACAATAGTATTTATACTCGACGTTATTATTTCCCCCTCGGCTCGTTCGCGCCTACTCAACCTTCTGCTTTTAGTACGACGTGCGACTGTATCGTTATGGTTGGCGCTCTCCTTTCTTCCCGATTGCAGTCTCCCTTCTTCGCTAGCAGCCGTCAACGGAGGCGAAGGAGCAGCAGAATGGCTGTGGGTGACTAGCGGGCGCTGCAAAACGTTGTATTCAGCCAACTTTAAAGCCATCGCCATCTCTGAATGTAGTTATAACAAGAGCGAATAGAGTTTATTTAGAGGCTGCAGGGCCCTCAAAAGGGATTTAAGAACTTAAATACAGGGATAATAGTTATAGCAAAAAATGGTATGAACCTTAACAGGATCTTACAGATAAAATAATAAAAAAACCTTCAGAGATTATCTCCAAATCAGGCGTAAGTTCAGGCATAACCTCAGAACTGGTCTAGAAAAAAATTTTTTATTATTAAAATTATAGTAAAGGCGGAAGTACTCCTACCTTTGGTAGACTGGGAGCAATCCCTTTTAAAGTAAGATCATTATTATTCACTGTCTATTAATGATAAGTATATAAAAAAGCCAATAAAGCTATTATAAAAGACCAAAACTAAAGTAAGTGTAGAAGAGAGTGGTAAAAAAAGTAAGCTAAACTCAGCTTTAACTTAATATGAACTCAGAAAGCGTAAGAATAATAAACGCCAGTAGACCCTTTTGTTCAACTTTTGAAGGGTGGAAAGATAAGTTTTGTCGTATAAGCAATTTCCCAGTCCGTGTCCAAAAGAACGTAGAGCCCTTTTTAAACCGTCGGTCACAGCTTCCTTCTTGGCCTTCTCCAGGGACAACGAGAGAGATTTTAAACCTTCGCAAATGCCGTAACCAACGTCCTGTGGTTAATAAAGTATCGAAAGAAGTATAATATAAATAGATATAGGAGTTTTCAAACAATCTACACTTGAAGAAAAATACTCAGGTTACTTCGTGAAATGTTCCATCTTTAAGCTCTACACGCACAATTGCGGTAACCCCAACGTCATATTTGCCATTGTTAAAAATTTGCTAAAATAATGAAAAAAAATTACAATTAAAACTTAACTTATAAAACAACTCAAGAAAAAGTTTAGCTCTAAAGAGCTTTAACGCATGTATAGTTCAAACTTATTTGGAATACGTGATCTGTTTGGATGTTTTTGACACAGGAACTCCAACCATCAAACCCGAAGGTCTCATTAGCTAAAGTAATCGATTTCCAGCCTTCAATTAATTGTAATTCAATAAATGTAAATTCAACAATAAACCATAGTGCGTTAACTGCCTCTACGCAGGTACACTTACGCCTACAAAACCTTCTAAATAAGCAACTTTTCTTCCACCGGCGGCTGCACGATAGGATAGCCACTCAGGTCCTAGCCTTGTTGATAACGACTTTTGTATGTGTGCTTTTTCTTCCTTAGAAAACTCAGAACCTTTCATACGTAAGTAAGTCTCAATTTGAACACATAAGTTCCTCCCGAAAGCTGATCAGGCGATATAAATACTAGTAGTGGAACAAGTCTCATGAGCCCCAACAACCTTAATCGCGTGCCATTAAAAAAGGTACACACCGCAAAGGAAGGGTAAAGTTTCAAAAAGTAAAGGTTTTAGAACTGGGTCGGTGGGGATTCAACCCACGACCTTGAGTATGCGTGTCAAAGCTCTTAACCTCTGAGTTAAGGAGGTAACTCTTAATTTCGCAAATGATGATAATCTGTTAATGTAAGAAAGCACACGTTTTGTTTTAAATTTTGCTGGGAAAAATTTATTTTATCTTTAAATTAGGTTGCTTGAAACTAAGTTTTACTGTACTACGTTTTAAAAACGTTTCATTGTGACATCGTTTAGTCAATTTTATACGAAGTGCCGCGAACAAATAAAGAGATAGGACAAGAGATAGTCTTCAGATGGTGCATAAAATAAAGTTTGTCGTTAACAAAGTTAGAAAATTAGGTTAGGATTGACACTAGTATTTTGGCTTGATTCGGGCATGCAGGAAAAGTGGTTAAGTATATCCGGTAACTTAGACGAGAAGATTAAAAAAATAGAACTTAACATTGAGTAAATTAAGCAATGGTGAGCGATAACTTATGGAGGGGTTTCGAGGTCGAATAAGTTTTCTTAAAAATGACTTGATATAAGTACAAAAATTAAATTTTTATAAATTATTAAGTAGTATTTAAGCTGTAAGTAAAGTCAAATGTATTCTTTATTTCGTGTCTTCTTTTTAAACTAAACGAAGCAATTTTATATATAATACTTTCAGATCGACCCAGTTAAGGTTAGGGTTAGGTTTGAGGGTTAAGTAACATAAATACAAATAAATTTGGAAGCGCATTGCACTAGCGACAGTAGCATGCATGGTGTGTGCGGTCCTTGATATTTTCGTCTGAGCTCTTTTGCCAGTAATCCATTGGTGCGTATGGTAATTTTGTAGGTGGTGAGGGCATTACAATCAAAAATGGTAGATAAGTATCCATGGTAAAGGGGATGATGTAAAGCATTGATCTCAACAAAGCACGGTGCTCCCATCGTGCTGCGTAGCAGTTAGTTTTGTCCTACTTGAAGAGAGCAAAACGTAGGCCAAGGCAGAAGAGGCGTATATCATGACTGGCCAATTACACAATTCAAACAAAGGTCCCTTGTTGTCAGTGGGAGTTTGCATTTGGCGCGGAGAAAAGGGTACAGAATTTGAGCCACCACACTAACCTCCGTCACTACTAGTTTATGTGCAACCACCCTGACAGCTTTATTGTCCATGATGACCGCCAAAAATATCGTTTGGAGACACAGTGGGTCATCCTGCCTTTAAAGGACAACGAAAGTGGTGGTGCAATAGACTTCACCTTGATTAGAAGGGCTATACACTTTTCCGCTTTAGCAGTAATTCTACTACGTTCGATACCAGGTAGCGAGCGTGACTAGGTAGCATTGCAGTACCTGACACAATGTGGCCTTCAGTTCACCTAGTAAATGGTTATGGCGGTATTTAACTGCACGTGTAATCATGACGGTGTGGTACCCACGCTCACAATACACTCGAATTCGGCGACGGCGAAGGTAAGCAGGGCTGGTGTCGTCGGTACCGCCGAAGACTTAGGTAGGATCTTTTAAAGCCGTTTTGAAAGTTTAACCCAGTCCTTCCTTGATGAATGTCCGTGTGTCTTAAAACCCACCTCGAAGGCATGACTGGCAGCTTGTTCAAGGAAAATGCGTAAGGAACCTCAATTGTTGTCGGAAGATTCACGCCAATGTGATGAAGGGGCGGACTGAAAAAGAGCAGGGGGGCGTCAAGTCAGCGTGCAGGAGAGACCGTTACTATTAAAATACTACATATATGTATATTTATATTTTTATAATAAAGGGCGAATTTTTGCATTGTGCTTTCTTCGTCATTTGATTATAGTTTCCGAAGACACCAGTCTATAAGACTGTAAGGGTCCTCAAGTTGAAGTATTTCGTTGGACTATAGTGCTAAAGCCTAAATTAGTTAAAAAATACTAACAGCTTAAGGATTTATAAAAGGCGATAGGAACTACGACCGAGGTCCGCACTTATCAGTATAAATTACGAAAATTCTATAGAGTAACATCAACAAAATCCAACCGTATACAACCCTTATACATACATATAGTTAAACAACAGATTATACAATAAAAAAAACATCTCAAGATAGACCAATAAACATTAACTTCATAAAGAAAACTTAGATATTATGAAAAAAGATAACTTTATCAAATATTTTTATATCAAAATATGGCAGTTACTGTCCCTCTTTACCTCCTTTTTACATTGATTTAAACCATCTAAGTTAAAATTAATGTAATTGACTTTATACTTATGTAAAGGCATCAATTTCACTTTCTTGCTTTAATAAACTCATCTCCCATTTTTACTTTCTTGCTTTCTTTCTTTTTAGCTTTATTTAAAAATTAGTGTAAATAAGTCCAGGCCTGAGATTATCTTAAGCATTGTTGGCAGATCTTTTTTATATTGCTGTTGCTGGTGTGTCGATTTTGTGCCCAAGCAAGCAGTGTACGAGATGGTTGTAGTTACGTTAGAAGAAGTAGACTTTTTATGTATTGAAGGGTAGTTGATTTAGGTGTTGTGAACCTTTGCGGTAATATTTGCAGCCGCGATAGTTGGCGGATTTATGCATCACCGCGATATGTGCAATTGGCAAAGTTGTCTTCGGCGTTTGTGCACTGCTCAGTTGCAGAGCAAGAAGTTGCGCTGTTCCCGAAAGCTAGAAACGGAGGCGTCGCTCCTTTCCTCTAACTTAAATAAGAATAGCGTTTTTAAATCTTTTGTCTATTACATCTCGGTGTATGCACTTACTTACTAAACTGCACGATAACTATATTTATGGGAAAAGATTTAAACTTTATACTCTATATTTTGTTATAATATTTACTTAAAGCTCCCTTTAAAAAAGTGTTCCTTAGTTTTGATCTATTGCAACGGTGGCCAAGCCGCTGTACACTATGAGATTTTGAACGGCTATAATAAGAAAAATAGAAATTTGTAGGTAATCGAATAAATAAATTAACTTAGCTGATGTAACCAGAGTCGAAGACACTTTGCAGCGTTTATTTAACTCTTAGGTCCCCTCAACCCTCGCTTCCCCCCTCACTACAGTGACAGGCATACCGGTGGATCGAGTGCCCAAATATTGTGTTAATGCTGTACTGAATCTTGCATTTTTGGCAGCAAAATCGGGTACAGTTAAACTTACTCACATTTCTCCCAGCTGGAATCTTATGCTCTCTAAATAGTAAAATCTGACTATCTGCTGAACTCCAGAAACAAATTTCGCATAGTGAGGCCGCCCCTCCAAAGCAAATTTACTTTATTTATATCAGTACATTAATCACTTTGACGACGCCAGTACTGGTCAGAAAATACTCGAAATAATTTTCCAGTTGACTTAGTGTCTTCAAGATATATCTTTAGCTACAAGCTTGACAGATCACTATATACTCAAACATGATAACAGCAAGTTAATGGAAAGCCTTTTAGAGCTCTTAACTAAAAAAGAATATATACAGTAAAAATGCGGAGACCCTTAAAAAAAATTGACCCTGTTACGTGTACAAAGTTACGTTCAATATATATGACCTACAACTATTTGCAAACTGTGTAAATGCAAGGCATCACAAAGCTAGTGAAAAAAATAAAAATTACAGACAGAGTTTAGCCTTGTAGAATGTATTTCTTCTCCATCCTTCCGACTTCATATATACTGAAAAAAGTTAGTTTTCCCCAATAAAATATAAAAATAGCTTTTCTTTCGTGCGCAATGCCCTTGCTTTTAGCTTTCGAAGTTAAAGCTATGGTTCAAGCGAGGTGTAACTTTTCCATCTAAGAGGAATCTGTTCGTCATATATATAATCACGTCCACAGCTTGCCTTTAGTATTCACTTTAATTTTCTTGCACTTAAAAAGGTTATATTACTCACCATGCTTAAGTAACCTACTATAAAGGGGGTCTTGAATTAAATATTTAACAAAGCGGTTTGTATTAGCTCAGCTAAAAAATTATGTAGTTGTAGTGACTAAATTCAAAAAAATTAATCTTGAATTTGTAGAAAAAGTTAGACAGCATGGGAAAAGGGAGACTCGACTAAAAAGTCAATTTCTTCTATATGTAGTGTAGCTCAATATATTTAAATTAACAATTACATCGTTCCATAAAAACAGCAATAAATTATTTTAGTAGATCAATAGTGGATTTGCCTAATAGTCACTTTCTTATGAGCAGTTGCACACTAAATCCCAAAGTCAATACTATGATCTTCGAAAGCAAATAGAACACCGAAGAAAACACTTGCATAAATTAACTTTGTTAAAATGGGCTCAACTCCAAATCAAAGAATTAAATAAAAAAATTAAAATTAATATAAGAACTAAAAAAAGTTTCCACATTTAATAAGACTTGTTATAAAGGTCAACTTTATTAGTAACAAAATGTTGATTGTCAATTAAAGTATTAACTTTTATAATCCAATGGGGTGTGACAGGATTATAAAACTTCGCTTATGAGAGGAATCTTTGGTTCCTGTGTTTTTATAATCAAAGAAATGGCATCTTCCTCTCTAATAAAATCCAGTTCAGCTGGGAGGGGGCAAGTTTCTATAAGACTTCTATAATTTTGAAAAAGAGCAGCTTCAGACGCGAGTTTTCGAGCAGACTCGACAGTCTTCCCCGTGCCTTATGTTATAAAAAAATACATCAATGTTACTTCTATAAGAAAATTTTATAAAGTTTCAATTATAAATTTTAAAGTCTTTATATAACATAATAACTTATAAAACAAATCTCAATTAAAATTAATTAAATCGTGTTTGTAGATCGCAGAAATACTCTAAAAAACCAAGAAGCAGGATAAAATTTGAGAGAAAATACTCCAGTTTCGTTTATCTACTTATACGCTCTTATGTACACCGCAGGAATTATCTGTTCTTTCCTTTTATAAATGCTCTCAACACAAGCAAAGCACAACAACTTATCAAGTACTTCCACGCTCTATACAGATTCTTAGAAGTCTTCGCGGCGGTGCGGCGGTAAAAAAATAATTAAAAAAGTAAACCGTATAAATTTATACAGCACTATTCCAAAATAAGTTTGTGTATGTAAACTACATATAGCTACGAAGTCGGGGTAAATGTTAATACTAAAGTAAACAGTATATAACAAATTTACTTGACCTAATTTAAGGCCAATACTGGAAAGTCAGAATAATTATAAAAAAAACCAAACGATTGGTTCTAATATTTTTAACAGCGTCATGAAAAAAACTTCAAAAGTATATAAAACCTTTGCCCAATAATTTTTGGCCAACGTAGATAAAAACTTGAGAATAATTCTTGCGTCCATTCGGATAATAATAATTATACAATCTACACATGGTAAATAATATTTAATAAATTTAATAAATAGCATTTTTCATTATAAATAAATATGTGCTTCTTAGATGCAAACGAAAAGAGTATAAATACCTAAATCCTAAGTGACAAGCTCACATAATTATATAGAATAAATAAAGATTTGAAAAAGTAAGCAAACTGTAAGGAAACAAACAAGCGTACTGAAAGTTTAATAGTAAACTACAATTGCTAAAAAAAATTCTAATTATCACTTTATATGGTTTACAAGCTTAAAAAATGATTCGGGTCAAAAACCAGCCAAAAGCTTTTCATAAAGAAAAAAACCGAAAACGCACATACATAAATAACTAAAACAAATACTCTCCGTGAGGCAAAATCCCTTCAGTTGTTTGGCAGATGTGATTGAGAATCAAACAGGGTCGAAATAACTTCAAAATCAACAGCATATCTTTAGCTACTCTTCTCTGTTCCGGTCGCAGTATGTTCTCGTAAACTGATGAATAGGCCTGCTCTCTTCCTCTAAAGGCACTAACCGCTCCCACAAGAGTTTTAAGAGGCTCCACAAGAAAGGTATTTTCATACTACTAAACATAAAGCAAGATGATATACACAAACAAGCTTTTAAATACTTGAAAACTATAAAAGTGCAATTTCAAAAATCTTGCAGCTTTTTTTAAGGATTCATCGCGACAGAGATAAGCAGAATAGTCAGACACGGACAAAGGCTGCAGTTTCGGGTATTTTTTGGAAACATAGACAAAAGAGGAATAGCAAATAGCTTTGGATCCTTTATTTACAAGTATTACATAAAGTCTGTTAGAAGCCCATATAACATAGAAAAGTAGTAACCAAGATGTGCCAAAGTCCCTTTTCGAGAGTATTCAAGAGTATTTTTTACCTGTTCAATATCGAGAGACAAAGCGGAAGACAAATGCTTTATAACCTCCGTTGGTTCTGTTTTTCCTAAAGAAGAATGTACATCTTCCTTAGGTAGCCCAAGGGGGTGTTTCCGTGAAAGTATAAGGTTAAAAGACTTAATAGTAGGGCCATTTTCTTTACGAAAGAGTAATAAAAAACTATGAAAGTTTCTTAAAAAAAATCTATTAGTATTCCAGCGCAGTGTTTTAGTAAATTGTATAGTTGTAAAGAAATGAACTGTTGAGTGTATTAAATAAAAAAAAATTTAAATTAACCTAAGAGATGAGTATTTTAGCATGTAAGGCACAAGGAAAATACGTAATATCAAAAACCAGCACTTCTTGTTAAAAGTTATAAAAAAGTTAATATAATAATATGATAAAAGAGCCGGAAAAGCTTCGAAGGAGCTTAGTTCCACTACTACGGCTGGGACAACTTGCACGCGCACTTTTCTAAATTCTCTGAAGTCTTTATACCTCCACTTCCCCTAGTTTTGTTTTAGCACCAAAGTATGCCTAAAGCAAAAGATCTTTTTTCTTTTATAGTAACCGTTAGTACACTACTGACAGTTCCTTTTAAAATCTTGTTGTAGTGATTGTATTGTTCAAATCTACCATATTGTAACATAATTCGATTATACTTTTTATCTTTTTGTTTCAAATGGTCTTTTCGAACTCAAATATATAAATTTTGTGGAACTAAGCTCTAAAACAGATTAGCTATAACAAACTGTAAGGCCTTGTCTATTTACCCCCCATTCACATATTTTGATCTTATAAGAAAGCTGGCACACCAAAGCGCAGGCCTAATATACTATTTAAGTTAAGGTACTAATTAACCCCTTATAGATTACTGGTTATATGTTTACCACTTTTCGCCTAGGTTCAGTCTGCAAGAGTAGGCCTACAGAAATTGACTCTAAAGGCAGGTTCGGTCTCTGAAACAATCTCTGGTAAGTTTGAGTACCATGGTCTAACGGATTAGGCAGCAACCAACAAAACAAAAAATGTGGTAAATTTAGTTACCATTGAACGTAAAACAATCCTAAGCCCCAGAGTTTTGCCCGTTAAAGGGTTAATAGAGCGTCCGTAGGAAAGATAGACGACATTTTAAAATTTTAACTAGTATTATGTTTTAACTACTGACACCATCTATTTAGTGTCTGAAGTATGGAAAGTATATGGTTTACCATTACCTTTACTAGTCCAGGGACGCTACTAACCACTGCGCAACAGAGGAAAAAAGAATAGCCAAGCTTTTTTCCTTATTTATAGCACTAGTTTACAACAGTCATGATTTCTAATCAATTACTCTTTAATCTAATTTCCCTCTACTAATTGAGGGTGTCTAAACTTCGACTTCTTAAACGAGTCAAAACGCCACCAATAAAACTAATGCGCTTTGTCTTACAGCTAATGATCATATGTTAATAAAGATACCATAGCAAAAAAAAAATGTATATATATATTACATATTATAACAGAATAGTTTAGTTATAGTACCTTTATATATTATTAAATAATATGTTAAGTTAATAAAATAAATTGTAATCTAGCCATATTCCCCATTAATAGATCTAAGAAATGTTTTGACCGCGAGTACAGTGTACAACGAGAGTCACATTATCAAGAGCCTGCCCAGTTTGTATATTATAGTGACTACTGGCCCTATGAAGTCAGTTTCGTGAAATAATAAAGAATACATTATAAAATAGAATCGAGGTTACATTCTCTATGCTATTAGTTGTTGAGCACGAGTTTTTGTAGTATTCGTAGTCGATGAATATATTTGTTTAAGGAACGGGCTTGGGCATTAATACATAGACCATCAATGGACGTATAGTTAATTTGTATAATAGAAGTTTGTTTTTTAGATGCAAGTTACTTCTCCTGCATAGTAAGATATACAAAGAAGTGGTTATGGCTTGTCTGGTTTTTTAATGACATTAAAAAGATGTGGAGTGCGGCTTAGTCAGTCGTCTATTATCACTCCAAAACATTAACCTTCTTACTGCAAGGAATGGCAGTTAATTTGATTAAAGACTAGGGAACTGAGGATGTATCTTCCTTGATAAAATCATAAAGCTACTTTTTGATGCGTTGAGTATTAACCTCCAAGTTGAAAACCATGCCTTCACTACTGTCAAATAAGATTATATGTTTTTTAAACACCATCCAAGCGGATCTTGAGCTATAATATAAGGCTGTGTCATCAGCTTATTGGACTACTTTTATCTCGACGATTGTGGCAAATCGAACATGTAGATAAAAAAAAAGTAAAGAGGAGAGTGGGGAGCCTTCTGGGACACCCACCTTTAAACGTATAATAGTGGACTTTAACTTACTTAACTCCAGCAGTAAAGCTTCTATTTGTTATGTATCAGTGTATTACCGCTGTTAAGTAAAAAGGGAATCTGGCAGTAAACATTTTAGGAATTAGAGCGCCATATATCATTAAAAGCCCTTTTAATATTTGAAAAGACTATCCCTGTCACTTTTCTGTTATTAAAAACTTTTGTAGCTTCTTTTGTCAGTAGGCAGTTGTAAGTATTTGATTTATTAACCTTGAGCTCAGAGATATAGCTTGAGAAGTTAAGTTTTTAAGCATTAGATAAGAAATACTATCGGGGTTCCAGGGTTTGCTTCTATTAAGAAATTGGATAATATATTTAAGTTCCGCACTGGTGGTTAGCTTAACCTTGTTGCATATGTTAGTTCTTAACAAGTAAGCAGTAATTACAGTGGAGACATGCTCTAGATTGTGTTTATAGCTTCTATTGATTCGGCAAATGCCACTACTATTTTAGAGGGCCTCGTTGCTGAGCATCCAGAACCGTGGATAGAGGGTGTTATGTCCCTCAAATTTAGAAGATTTTATAGCCCTTGTTAATTTTTATAGGGAGTTGTTCTCTGGCCCTGGTAACTCTAATTTATTCTGCCAGCTCCCGTTAAACCAAACATCCAATGTACTGTAATATTTCTATCTCCTTGAATGCAAAGAGGTCATAAATCCTGCTCCCAAATTTTGCCTTCTTTTAATTATGAAATTAGTATGGTAGGTCGTATTATTGGGTTTTTGCATTCTTTAATGAAAGTAGACCTACTATAGTTCTCCTTTATAGCTCCTTACTATTAAGTCAACAGTGGGCTCGCCACGGGCATTCTAATATATATACTAGCTAATAGCACTATTCTAATATAGTACCGATACCATACTACGGTCTTATAGCCTATAGCAACTAGTACTATTCACTACGACCCAACCAACGCTCGCGCGAGGGAGTATCATAGCTACAAGCACATAGTATTAGTACTCTACTCATCGGTTACAGTTCTAGTAAACCATTCAGTTAACTGCATACATTCGTCTAGTAGTATGTAGCAACGACCCGATGGCTCCGTGGTAAGAGCTAGTGCCATTCAGTTACTCATAGCATGCGCCTTTCTGAACAAAAGTCTTCGCACTCGGTTAGTGACTTGCAAGCTCAAGTACTCATACTACTTAGCTGATTCCATTAACCTGCTAGTCAATTACACAAGTTAAGTTCCACAGCTCGTTCATTGCTTTTCACAGAGGATTGTCTCCGGACGGCAATTACTAGTATATCCCACGAGAGGACTTGATGTACTTTTGTCCCATAGGTCATCAGCCTAGCTATATTATGCAAAACTCTTAGCGTTGAAGCTAGTACTAGATAGACAGTCAAGTTAGAGATAATAGTAATAGGCCAATCGAGACAGGTAAGATAGAACCTGCCTAAATGAACCTATCTGTTGCGTCGTTTTTACCAATTTTAAGAGCATGTCGTCCGACACGTAACGATTAGCCTATGTCTCTCCACGGCATCGAACATACCTTACCAAATTCCGATCGAGCAGGATAACCATATTCAGAACCAATAGTGTTACCTTCCAAGAGACCATAGCGTACTCAAGTAACTTTCAACCAAGTCCTCGGAAGCGCTTGATCCTAGAGGGTTATTTAACACCACAAGATTGTATGTAGTTTACACATGTACAAAGATCCTTCCGTGGATGGCGCCCTCTTGTCTTAATTCACTGGTAAACAGATACCATTAGACGCAAGGAATAACGACACGCATCAGTCGTGCTACCGTGCTAGAAAGGGTCCGATCTTTTTCGAACGCTCGTACGATAACATTTTTCTAAGAATACGATTTTCTATTATATGTTAAAGTGTGTATATTGCTTCATGATTGTATCAAGATATTGCACAGTCTAAGGACTTCTAATACTCCTAACGATCCCACAACCGACAGCCGACCTATCCAGTTCGCTATAGTTAGCTATTGACTGACTAACATAAGACTTACTTGCTGGAGTCACAACGAAGCAGCAGAACTTTACTTCTTCGAGATGAAGTCATGCACTCAGTTGGAAGTATCACCTGATCACAAGTTAATTAGCTCGCTTTCTACATACGACTCAATAAGCTCCTTAAAGATATATATCAAAGTCACTTATTTGACAAAACTCGTTTTTTGCAAAATGTAAAATGCAAAATTGATAATGTAGTTAGCTCATGGTTCTTGCTAGGTACACTAATTAAGATAAAGGAAGCTAAGTTAGTTTCTTCATTAATAACAAGGCTCAGGAAGATAATCTTGATGGAAAGTTTAAGAGATCTGTTAGAGGTAGTTATAAATAGTGAGATATAAAGTTAAAGTTAAATAATTCATTACCTCTAACAGATCTCTCACCCAATCGTCAATGCTGAAAAAGAAGCACTAGATTACTACTCGTTAGCTTTCTACAGTAGATGTTAACTAGATTAAAATGCTAAAACCAAGGTTACTTCCTAGTTTAAGGTCACTAGTTTCTTCCTACTCGCTTCAAAGTTAGTTTAAGTAGGTTCTTTCACCTTGATTTATAAACCCTAGCACAGGAGACTAGATGACTACAAAGATATTAAAATGTTACAAATAGTAATCTCCCATGCTAGGGAATAAGGTTCTACTTTGGTATAACAAAAATAACTACCACTCTAGATATGATAATTAAATCATTATACCAAAGTAGAAAAAAAAAAGTAAGAGTAAAGATTCCCTCTTTTCTAATATACTGTTATCCCAGGAAAGGCTTTAGCCTCTGGAACGTCTTGGAGGGGCAAGTCGCCTGGTACTTCGTTCCACTAGGTCATCAGTTGAAACAAAAAGGAAATCTTTAACTTTACTTTGTTTTTTAGTTCTACTTTGGTAGAATGATCTAATTATCATTTCTTGAGTGGTAGTTATTTTGTCCTACCAAAGTAGAACTTGCTTAAGTAGTTTAGTGGTAAAACTTTACTGGCAGTAACGGCAATGGTTCGATTTCATTCTTAAGCATAGCTGCCTAGGGGAAAATAACTTAATCTTTACTTCTCCCTTGGGTGGCTAATTAACTTTGTAGCTGAGGCTATAAGATAATGGTTAGCTTAAGTTAATAATCAGCTTATACTAATCGAATAAAGTTGATACAATCATTAGCTTCTGATAATGTCACCGAAGCTCAAAGTAATAATATAATAAACTTAAATTAATGAAAACATATAGGTACTGGTATCAATAAAAATGAAAATGAGTGAAAAAATCTACTTTGTTAAAACAGTGCCTATACTATATATATTTAAGACCAGGATTGAGGCGTATATAGAGAGAGAGCGAGCCAATTAACTTGCTTTTGGATGAATTAGTCAATTGAGTGCATGAATCCATCTCAAGCCTAATGAGTTCCGCAACTAGATTGTAACTTCAGAAGTTAATCTTATGTTAGTCAATCAATAGCTAACTATAGCGAACTGAATAGAGACATGTATGTTTATGGATACACGATTATTAGCAATATATTTGTGCTATCGTTTAGTTGCGTACACACTTTAACTTAATAAAATATCACCTATCAGTGATCTAAATAAAGGTTATCGCACAAGCGGCCGAAAAAGATCGGTCCTATGTTTACACGGCTGTTGTGTATGTTTTTCCTTGAGTCTCCTGGTACGTGTTTACCACAGAATGAAGACGGTTGGATGCCATCCACAGATGGATTAGCATACATGTGTACATTAGATAAGCTCTTGTGGTGTTTAGTAACCCTCTATTTGGGTCGTGTCCTTTGAGCTTTGACGAAAAGATAGTAATTGAACCTCACTGCAATACTCACCAAACGATCCTTATGATTATGGTTGCCCTGCTTGAGTGACGCTCGTGGAGTTATGTATGCTACGGTGGAGAGACGTAGGCTTATTGTTACGTGTGGAAACACATGCTCTTAAACTTGGTAAAAACTGCACAGCAAACAGGTCCACTAGACTAGTGCTATCTTCCTAGGATTCGGGTGACTATTACTATTATTTTGAGCCTATTCATTTAGGTGCTAGCTTCGACGCTACGAGTCTAGCATAATATAGCTCACCGTATGGCCTGTCGGAGGAAACTAGCTTACAACCCGCCATGAGCGTATACAAGAGTTGCATTCCCGCGACAATTTTCAGTGAAAAGAAACGGAATAGCTGTGGATATCTCTTGTGTGTAATTGACTAGCACATTGATTGAACCAGCTAAGTAGAATAAGTTCTTGTGCTTGTAAGTCACTAACTGCGTGCGAAGACTTTTGCTATTAAGGCTTATGCTATGAGTGACTGCATTAACACTATCTCAAGTCCATGAGACGCCGGTGGTCGCGCTATATACTACTATATGAATGTAGGTAGTTAGCTAGCTGGTCGTTACGATCGAGCCGGTGCGGTAGAGTAGTTATACTGTATACTAGTTACTAGTTAACTCTATTATCTGCTATACTCTGACTCGCTGCGTGCTGAGTTTGGGCTTAGTTGAATAGTACTTGTTGCTATAGACTAGTAGCTGGTATATAGTAGTAGCACTGTACCATGATAGTGTTGGTTATTAGTATATATATATATGAGGCGGCGAGCCTCTAAGTCTAAAGCCTTTTCAATGGTCTGCACCATGGAATCTATGCTTTTGTCCAACTGTCCTAAAAAAATGTTGGCCAACTAGTTACCTTTATAACCCAAGTTCTCGGGGTCTTCTGATCTCCTGCACCTACGGGGGTAGGGGTGTAATCAGAAGTTTATCCAAATAGCGTATTGACAGTAATGATACGAAAATATTTTTTGTGCCGCCATGTCTGAAAAAGTCACAAGTCCCTCTGGCTGAGTGATGAGTTGGATCCTTTAGATCAATTACAATTAAACCTTTTTCGTCACTATAACGGGCAAACCACTTTACGTTAGCGTTCCCAGGCCTGCTATTCTACAAACCTAAATCTCCAGTCAATAAGGTACTGAAGGGATCAACAAAAATCTTATCAATATTCAAATCATTCAAGACTTATCCGGAAGGTTTGTAAGCAGCAATCAACTCTCCAAATGTGATAGAACCCTATATCACTCCGACAGCTTCTAACTTATTAAGTCCAAAAAGTAGAGTGTTTGGTGGGGGGAAGGTTTCTTTTAGTAAGACGGCTACGCCACCTCCAAAAATTATACTGAGTCACTGACTAGTTTATATACACAACTTAAGTATATTAGCCCTCACTAAGTTATGTGTACTTATTAAATACAGAAGCATTAATGCTGTGTAGCGCCTATCTCTCGTATCTTGAGTGTTTTCTGTTCTATCTGTTTCTTCTAATTTTAATCAAAGTTTGGCAAGTAACTAATTTTATCAGCAAACTGCCACATATAAATACATTTTTTTCAAGGGTCAAAAATTATACTGCTCGGCTTATCCTGTTTAGAAGACCCCTTTAATGAATTCTTTAAATGCACACGCCCTCTATACAACAGACCCCCTTCTACTAACCATCCCTTAGTCACGTTACAAATTATAGCCTTAAAGACTAAAATAACGTCTTTGATTGGTCCACTAGACTAAAAGAACGTGATAAAACAATGAACCAAAACTGTTTTTTATTAAAATAGATTTGACATAACACGTCGCCTGATAAGTCCCGGGACTAACTTTAAACCTTTTTTTGCAAAATTCACACTTACGTTTCGACAGTCTTCTCTTAGGGCGATACACTCAGTCCAACGCTTTTCCAACCATTTACACTTTTTCATAGAAAGATTTGTCATTGCCTACAAAGTAGGTCTCTGTTTTGGCGATCATTTTTTCGTTTGACCCAAAATTTTTTTTCCTAAAGCATTTTTTTGAGGACTGCAAAGAGATATTGGTCGCCGGGGAGAGATTTGGAGTACGGTAGCTTCCTTCGAATCAAACCCGAACTTCATTTCTTACAATTTTGCCATGGTCTCCATTGCCTTGTGGCCTGGTGCATTTTTTTTTGTAATTTCCTCCTTCAATTAAATCCATACTACTTATATCATATTTACCATGCGTGGTTTTCCCTTTTTCAAGGTATTTGATGAAAATTATACCGTCCACTTTTTAAAATACGGGGGTCATAACCTCCCGGTAAACTGTTGCCTCTTTGGTCTATTTGAGCGGTTTTCATTCTTGGTTTTTTACTCAGCTGACTGCCCACAAAACTCTGGCATGTAACGATGGAACGAGGTTTCTACTATAGCTACGTATCGCATTAAAAATTCTTTTTTTATTCTTAAAGAGCTCCAAACAGAGTTTCGAATCATCAACTCACCATCACATTGTTTTTGGTCCACAGTTAGCAAACGCGGTGGCCATTACGAACAGCGTTTCTCTTGACCATATGTTTGCGCAAAATATAGTTTACACGTTCAACCTGCCATTTAAAATGTGGTATTAACTGAAACTGATATGACTTTTATCTTTGAGGGGAAATCTATGGGTTAAAGTTAGGACATTTCAGGCGACGTGTAATGTATATACTGGTTTAAAATAATCCAGATAGATTAAGTCTGTCGATGACACATTAGATTCGTGAAAACTTATTTTAGTAACTTCGCACTCTACCAAACCATCAGTTGAAGAAAAGATCCCAGTTTATAGTTTTAAATGCAAATTGCCATTTTTAGGCTATTCTTATGACTGTTTTAAAGATAGTTTTAGCTTAATTATTAGCATATAAGGAACATTGGCTTAAAAAGTAAACAGTCAATCGCATTAATTTTTTTTTGCGGTTTCGTCTTAGCCACGTCCGTACAACTTTACAAATATGTATATATTTGTGTACAGGTTTATTTCTAAAAGCTTAGAGGTCTAATACCCTAACAACATTACGACATCCTGTAATATTTCTTTGTTAAAACAGCCCTGTTTTATAAGCTTTTTGTAATGATTTTTATGCGTGGTACTCGCGCCTTAAGCCGGGGTCCAGCAATTTTTTCAATTTAAGTTTTAATTACTATCTCTTTATTAAGTTTAAACTTAACTCTCTTCTTAACTTAGCTTTTGCTGTTGTTTAACATTTACTTTACCCAAATATATATTAAAAAAATTAAAAATTAATTTGACGAATCACAGCAAGGTCTATCATATCAATTTGACTGACGGGAGCTGTACTTAGCTTATACCTTTCACCAGTAAGAGCAAATATTAGATTAGTTAAATCTATTCGTATATATTTGTTTTCATATAGTAATAGATAAAAGTTAGTGGCTGCCCCCTATATTTTGAGTAAACCTGAAATTATCTTCAACGTATATGCTTTTGCTGTAAAAACAAATTATGATGTAGTCAGCAGCACCCTATATATAGAGAAAAGCAACATATGGCGCGGCTAAAAGAAAATATTTAATTTACTAAATAACAGAAATATCTTGAGTGCATTTAAGTTAATTAATATCATGACTTTCTTAACCCAAATAGAAAACTTAGTATAATCTTAACAAAACTTATATATTGCCTATCTTTCCTAACAGTTTTCGCTAAAACAGACTTTATTTTCATTAACTCTACTTTACCCACTTAATTTTTCTAACTGCAGCTCAGTGGAAATTTAGCTATTTAGGCCTTATTTCAAGTCAGTTTCATCTTGGTTACACTATTATTTCAAGGTGGTTGGTACTTTTTTTAACCCTCATTAGTCGTAAAAATAGAAAGTGGTTTATAAATTTTTTTTAGCATTTAAAACTGTCCGAAGGGTGGGGGAATGCCTCTTTTCATTAACATAAGCAGTTACTACTTTAAAAAACTAGTCCTGTGGGTACTGGGATTATATTACAGTTTAAAATATTTAAACCTTGGTGACTGCTGTCCTACAAGTGTTCAGAGTTAATAGAAGGTTTCGCAAAGATAGTATCGAGTTTATAAATCACTATCTAGCTTTTTTTTTTTAGGCTTCTAATATTTATTGACAACTTTAAGCTTCATAAAATAACTGATCTACCGTCAGTAGGCAGCTAAATTATTTCCTAACTCTAATTATTTAGAATATTACACACTTGGAACATGGAAGTTCCAGAACACAGTGATAACCTTACCGGAAATATTAACACTGTAAAACTCTATATATATTTTATTTCTTCCCTTAATTATTATATGCAGCGCTACCAAATCTTGTTAGACAATATAGTTCCTTATGTTGCTTTGAGGTGGGGAAGTTTACTTTTTACCTTAGGCTTGTTTTTTTTTAGAATCATACTTTTGCAAGGTATGTAGCTTTATTATTAATCACATAATTATAAAAAATCTAGTTAGCATTGCACCACGTTAATTATGACAGTATTTTTAACTTCGTTGGATCCTATAATTTTTTTTAATTAGGCTGGTACGTAGTTTGTTATGCACTTTCTATCTACTTGCTAAATCTACTTCTTGAGTTTCTGACTCCTCTTGACTTCGAATTTGACGAAGAGGATGAAGGTGAAATTATTTATTATTATCTTACTGTACATTATATACTAGTTTTACTATTACATAAGATTTTTGTGAGTTTTTTTAATAAATAAAAATTTGTTTATCCGCTTTATATCTCTATGTATTATCCCTTGACTGTCATCGAGTTAAAAAGATCTTTAAATTAATTAAGATAAATACTTGTGCTACTGCTATTTTTTTTATAACCAGGGGAACCCCAACTTCCTACACAAGCTAACCAAGAATTCAAACCTTTTGTACGAAAACTTCCAGAGTTTAAATTTTGGTTAAAAGATTTCTAATTTTTTTATATAATAAGTTTTTAACATTCTACCCACGAAAAATTTTCATAGTAAAAGTTAAAGCTATATTTTATATATATAATTTATTATATTTACTAACCAATAAATAGTATATAGTAAAAAATTTACTACCTTTGTTTATAAGTTCATCTGTGTTTTTCACTTTATCTTTTTTTATCACAAATTAACCAAATTAACAATTAATCTTAAAGAGTAATTGTATTGTTAAATATCTGAACCTAATTTAGCCTTTTCAGTTGTATATTATTTTGTAATATATAAATAAACCCATTTCAAAAATAAACAAAAAAAAGTCGGTTTCTTTTTAGTTTTCTATAAAAAGATTTACACTTGTCAAGTGACCTTTTGAAAATTTATAACAATAAAAGATATATTAACAGCTAAACTCCTCTTTCAGGGAAAACGGCATGAAGGGGCTTCTTGTGGCCCATTTTTGTGTGTTTTTCGACTGTTTCAATGTTCCTGTGTTCTGGCCAATCCTGGTGCTATACTTTTTTGCACTATTTTTTGCGATGATGCGAAAAAGAATTCAACATATGATCAAGTATAAATATGTGCCGTTTAATTTTGGTAACTTCAAACTTTTACTACTATTTTGACTTTTTTTTCATCTTTTGTGATTGTGCTTTTATTAAATTATAGGAAAAAAATCCTACCGAAACAGCCCAGTGAGGACCATTTAATTTGTTTTAAATTGATAATTTAGTTTTTTATTAGATTATTTGAATCGTGCGGTCGCTGAGCCAAGCTCACAAATAAAAACAAAAATTTAAATTACGACTTTTTAAATACGTTTTGTAGTGCAGCGCTTTTACCATGGCTTCCTTGTTGTTTGTATTGTTTTCTGGTACACTAATTAAATTAGGCAAAGTTTCTGTTTTTGCTTCAGTTACACTACAACGGGATCATGTCCGAAAAACACCTTTAAAAACTCTCGCAACAGCTAAAATCAGCAAAGCAAACGGCAATTCAAATCTTGCTAAAAAAAAATTGTGATTTTTGCATTCTCCTGCAAATTATCTTAACTAAATTTGAATTCGAGACATCAAAAATAGACTATTACAAGTTATTCTTAGAAAAATTGTGGCGTTGCAAACATTATTTATACCAACTAGTAAAAAATGTATAGAGAGCCATAAAGAATTGAAAAGTTTTCGAGAATTCGAAATTAATTTAAAGGAAGTTTTTTCTTCAAAGATCTTCTCATGGCATATGCGTTCTAGAGAGAAAAAAATAAATTAATTCGCGAGGGGTAATCAAGCGCAATAGATAAACAAGATCGCTTAAATATTGAGCAGCCTATATAATTTTTAAAAAAGTTTATTCCAGCAAGTTAAGTAGGTGTATGTAAAGTATTCTAAAATTTATTAAAAAAAATTATTCTTTTTTGCTGAGTAAATAAGTATATAGAAGAAGTCCTTTTAGTAAATTTTTTATATACATAATTTATGTTAAACTATATACAACAGAATCTTAAGAGTATAGATATTAGTCAATACTTTTTAAATAATTAAAAGTAAAAAATAAATTTAAAAAGCTTGAAAAATTAAATTAATAAATAAAGTAGAGAGATAATAAGTCAGCGGATAAAAAAAACTTGTGAAGAACGAAAAAATAGAACAAAGACATGACAAGCGGGGTGAAGTTAAAACAGTGAAGTTAACATTAATGCAGTTTACTTATTTTAAAGGCAGATAAAAAGAATAAAGATGCAATAGATACTTCTCCATCGGCATAATACTTGGATTCAACATCAACAACTTCAAAGTTAAGAGTGTCACGATAAAGATGCAAAGCGGCACGATTACTCTCACGAACATGAAGAGACATATAATCCGCTTGAAAATTATCAATCATTGCTTTTGAGGCCTACTCAAAAAAAGTAAAAGCTGAAAAATAAGAGGCTTTATAAACAAAGAAATTTAAATTAACTAGAATTATAAAAATAAGATTTCATAAAATTAAAACAAAAAATTTACTTGCTCCATTAATTTAAAAGCAATTCCTTGACTTCTATAGTTTCGTAGAACGGCAAGCGAAGTTATATGCCCGTTAGGAATATCCTTCATGTCCTCATCCATCTTTGCAAGAACGTAACCTACTATTTTTCTTTGTTCATTTTCGGCCACAAAGGACAACTAAACTTATATATTAGGTTAGGTATTTATTATGAGCTATGCAAAGGACCTGAGGCCAAGTCAATATATGATATAAGTAGTATTTCATTTGATAATTTTCGGGAAGACAAGTTAAATTACAGTGTTGCATTTGTAGTAAATCGTGGGGAGTAGCGGGTCTTATGCTAACCATTTCTTTAATACAAGACAATATGTTATGTTATATCCTTGGCTTTTCAATGCGGTATAAGAGACTCAAGATGTAAGCTTTTTTAATACTTGTTCCATTAACAGTTTACCACCTACTACACATAGAGCGTGGACTTTAAAACCGCGTGCCTGATAAGAATTTAGTAAACGGTAATGCTTTAGTAAAATTACTTTATTTTGTATATATGATACAGTATTGAACTTATAGAAGACAAGAGTAAGTTTATTGTTAAATATATTCTTGAATAATGGCCTCAGAAGATAGTGAAATTTATAAAATTTCAATTTTTGGAAAGGACACCATTTTTGTGGGCTTGGTATGTTTCCGTTACTTTATATTAAATTTAACTAAAAAATTATATATCTCAAAATTAACTGCAATATTTGTTTTTTTCGCGTAATATATCTTATTACTTAAAAATTTGTTGGAAATATCTATATTTATAGGGAATAACTTTGGCAATAGTTGAAGATTTGAATAATCATCTTTCTGCTTCAATATATGCTCTGCTAACTGATAAGAACGTTGAATTATTATATTTACAAGAGTTCGAACAAGTTTTTAAAAGTTTTAATCTTCGTCTTTTACATAAAGTAGTAGAGCCTGGGGTGAGTTTATTTAAAACGTAGTATTATCTTTTAATTTTTAGGCTTTCATTTTTCTAAAACAGGAGAAAAGTAAGAGCAGGGGTTTAAAGGCAGATATAGAAGACTGGCTAGCTAAGGAAGGTTATCTTAAATATAGTTTGTGACTCGAAATAATTCTTTAATTTTTTTTGTTCTCAATTAAGAATCTTATACTTTACCTTATAGGCTGCCTAAAGGATACTGTCCTCATAGCTTTTGGTGGGGGAGTGATAGGCGATCTTACCGGCTTTGTAGCTGCGACGTATATGAGGGGCATTCGTTACGTTCAGATTCCAACCACGCTTCTAGCCATGGTCGATTCATCCTTTGGCGGTACCTCTAGCCTGTTAGCAGAGTATCCCTTCAGCATTGTGGAATTTCCTATTCAGGTAAAACGGGGATCAACACGCCTTACGGGAAAAATCTAGTTGGTGCATTTCACCAGCCCTCTCGCGTTTATGTTGATCTTTTATATTTAAATAGTTTATCTAAAAGACATATCTCTAATGGTATGAGTGAGGTAACAATGCTTCATTATCTCCTTCTTAAGGTTCTTTTAAGCTGATTTCAAGATTATTAAATTGGCGGCTGTGTTTGACTCCGAAGCGTTTGCCTACTTGGAATCTCACTCGGAGCAAGTTTTTCAACGTGATACGAACGTTCTTCTTTACATTGTAACATCGAGCATAAAAAGAAAGGCGGCGGTGCTCTTCAAGAACTGCGGCCTCTCCACCAATCTCACGTTTCTTGGCTATAGATTGTTACTGAGGACATAAAAGACAGCGGCCTCCGCAACATCTTGAACTTCGGCCACAGTGTGGGACACGCTCTTGAAATTCTCGCGCCCTTTTGCCTACTTCATGGAGAGGCAGTGGCTATTGGTAAAGTTGTGACCATTGACTACATCTCTTGTAAAACTCCACCACCCAAGGGATGTTCAAGGAAGCTGAGATTTCACGGTCCCTTGGCTACTGCCGTCAAGCAACCGTGAACCGCCTATCCTCGTGCTTAAGTTTGTATGGTTTGAAGGTGAGTGATTAGATCCAGCACGTTTTTTAAGGCTTCTTTACTTTTTGCAATGAAGACTGCAGTACCGACGAACCTGAATGTCACTGACATCATGCGGTACTTGAGAATCGATAAGAAGAATACAACTACTGGCCTGCGGCTGATTATGATCAAAAGCATCGGCGGTGTTGCCTCGCCTTTCCTTCACGTGGTAGATGATACCCTCGTTGAGGTGGCATTGTCTAGTCTTATAGAGGTGAAGCCTAAAGAAGGTCCGGTATTCTTAAGAAGACTCAAAGTTATATTATTGTTTCCCAGAACTTGCTGTCCTTTTCTTACTTTTACTGCAGTTTACTTACGCATTATTTAGTGTCCTTCTTCATTTTAGCAATCCACGGTACTGTCGCCGTGCCCGGCTCCAAGTCCATCTCGAACCGGGCTCTTTGCCTAGCAGCCCTCGGAAGCGGTCCCTGCATGGTGAAGGGCATCCTCCATGCCGACGACACGCTTGTCTTGCATATAATGGTTGTGTCGGTTGTAAGGCTGAAACTACTGTTTGGAGGTCATGTGCCAAGCACTGCAAGCCCTGGGAGTGAGGATCACCAGAGCTCAAGCAGATGACTGCTCCCTGACTGTGCATGGCGTTAACGGGCAGCTGAGCCCTCCTAAATCCGGTATCTTCCTCTTTTCCGTTTCATCAGTTCCAAACACCTCAGCGATTCACGAGGAATCTATGTGGGAAGCTCGGGTACTACCGCACGCTTTATAACCTCGTTGGTCACGTTGATCGTAGACGAGTGCGAAGTCGTCATAACGGGGAGCTCCCGCATGAAAGAAAGGTACTTTAGTAGATGTCCTGCATCGTTTCGGCAAAACCGACGGCTGGTTGCTATGGAGACCTATTGGTCCTTTAGTGGAGGCCCTACAGAGCACAGGCGCCAGAATCGAATACATGGAACAACCCGGCGCACTGCCTATAAAGCTTCACTGTGGGGGCGGGTTCAAAGGCGGTAGTTTATGCTTTTTTCTGCATCGAATTAGTCATCTCACTTGTCGCTTTTAGGCACCGTTGAAATCCGCTCGGACGTCAGTAGCCAGTTTTTTTCTTCTCTGTTGCTCTGCGCGCCGCACGCCAAAGAAGAGACAACTCTCTTGTTTTCCTCTTCGAAGGTTCTTTATGCGGCACCGACCACTTCTTATGTTTGAACTGCTCTGTGCTACTCCAGCGGGTTTCTCAGCGCTACATCGATTTGACTCTCCAAGTAATGCACGGTTTTGGCAGCGTAGTGGAGGCCCTCCCCTCCGGCTATGTGGTCCCCAAGTTGCCTTACCTGAACCCGCCTGTCTTTATAGTGGAAGGTTACTGGCTCTTTGCTCTTCTCGGGCCCCTTTCCTTCCATACCCCATCTTCCACGGGAGATGCGTCTTCGGCGACGTACCACATGGCCATTGCGGCTATTTCGTCCGGCCGAGTTACTGTCTCCAATGTCGGTCGGAAAAGTCTACAAGGAGGTAGCCGCTAGTACGGCACAATTTTGTGTGTTTTTTAAGCCGAGCGGCCTAGATACCGCGTTTTGTTATCTCCTCCAGTTAATGGGCTGTAGAGTAGAACAAACGGATCAAAGTACAACCGTCAGGTATTCTCTGCCTCTTCTTTTTATTGGGTCGGTTTCTGTCACGCCATCTGCTACCAGTGGCCCGGAGAAGGGGCGGTTGAGCGCCGTCAGCATCAATATGACCGATATGACGGACTCTTTTATGACTGCGGCCGTTCTTTGCGCAGTTGCTGAAGGGACCTCTGCACTGTACGGCATAGCCAATCAGGTTTACTAGTCATCATTACTCTATTGGTGGAATATCTATAGCCAATACCACCAGAGATTCAAGGAGAGCAACAGAATCACCGTCATGGCGGAAGAACTCCGAAAGGTGCGCTCTCCGCATTTTCCTTTTCGCACACTGGCTAGTCATACACAACTTAGCTTGGCGTACACGCGGAAGAACTCCCGGATGGTCTTGAAATTACAGGCAGAAACCACGAAGAATTAAAGGGTTTGTTACTGTTGTTTTCTTAACCCTCGAAGATTAATGACTGGAATAGGTTGCGTGGTCAACTGTCACGAGGATCACCGCATCGCCATGAGGTCTGCCGTTCTTAACTGCCACGCTTACATATTCTAAGACTTGTTATTGCATCAGTTTTGCCGTTCTGGGCTGCTTGGTGAAGGGCGTGATCCTCAACGACAAAGCATGCGTAAGCAAGACGTACCCGGAATTCTGGGACCATTTGCAGGTATTTTTAAATTCTACTGGTACGGTCTGTGCGGCGTGCAAATAACCTGCCTACAGACATTTTTAGGAGTCGGTCTCGCAGTCCCCGCCTTGCGCCTTGCACCTTGCCTACGAGTAAGCATTATATACGCGCTTAAGTATAACCTTAACACGTATTATTTTTCAAGACCAGAAGCGGTCTTTCCCTTATCCTTATTGGCATGCGGGGAGTTGGGAAGAGCCGGCTCGGTGCAACGCTTGCAAAAGATCTTGGCTTTTCATTGATTGACTTGGATTCTTTCATAGAAGAGAAGATCGGCCAGACCATCCTTGAGGTTTGAGCGCGGTCTTTTTTTTTCTATGTACACAGATTCTATAACTCGATAGTACGTGGTCGAACGTGGTTGGCCTTCTTTCCGGGACTTGGAGCTTTATTGGTTTAAAACTATAATGACCAACCAGCGCTACCAATGCGGTCATGTGATAGTTACTGGGGGGGGGCTTGTGGAAAACAGTGCGCTTCTGCTCTATATGTTGATACTGGAAGCGTGTACCTTATTAGGCCCAATATGTTACAGAGAGTGCGCGGTCGTTGCTGAAGGCGCACAACTTTGTCATCGAGCTTCGGCGCGATATAGAGGACCTCGCAACTTCTTCAGGTCTCTCCGTCACGTGTTGCTATCATTTAGTGTTATCCAATCGACCTGCCCGCCATTAAACTTTATCCTGTAATCGCTTCAAAGTTAGCAATGTAACCACATGGCAGTGCACAAAAACTTGCTTCCACTAAATTAAACTTCGTAGTACCCTTTCCCACTCGAAAACCCAAAAAGTCTTTGAAGGGCTTTTTAAAACGTAACTTTGCTTATGCGTTAGATGTGAACGGCAAGCGACCGAGTTTGGAGGAAGAGCTGCGCGCCGTCTACGCCAAGAGGAAGAGTAGACTGCGCGTGTGTTAGCACCGAGTCTGTTCTTTGTTATTCTTTGATTGGTCAGAATGGTACTCGAACTGCCGCACTTTTCTCTTTCCCATTCGACGAGGAGAAGAAGAGTGGGACGAGGTAAGAAGCGAGCTCGTCTCATTTTGCCGCCGCGTCGCAAATGATTATGTGAAGCCGCCTAAACCTGCAACTGCAAGGCAAAGCTGTCGTTATTCTCCGGTTCTTTTTTTTCCATAAATATAATTTCACAGCTTCTTTGTATGCTGTACCTTTTCGAATCCAAGTGCTTCGGGGGAAGAGCTTAGAGAAATCTGCGTGGGAGCCGATTATATAGAGCTGCGTGTGGACCTCTTGGAGGATCCCACAGTATATATAGAACTTTTACCTATTTTGTAAATGCACCGCCCGCCCAGCCATACGGTATACCTTAAGCACAATGCCGGGAAATAAAAAAGAGGGCTGGCGGCTATTTATAAACAAGACGCTGATTATTTTGTACGCCTGAGTAACTGTTCTCTCTTTTATAAAGGAAGACTTTATTTGCCAGCAAGTAGCTCACATTCGGCGTTGCTGTGGGATCCCCATCATTTTCACGGTGCGCAGTCGACGTCAAGGTTTCCGATTCGTTTGTTTTCTATTCGTCGTTCAGTTATGTTTCCCGTTTTGTATAGGCGGCATATTTTCTGGAAGCGAGGAAGAGCAGCTCGCACTTCTTCTGCTAGGCGCTGAGCTTGGCTGCGAGTACATTGACGTGGAGGTTACGCTCTCCGACGCCTCCATTGTCCGAATCATCACAGAAAAGAAGGCCTCGTTTATAATGCTATCTTATCATGCACCAGGTGAAGACACATGCTTTGCGTCGGAGGGGTTGTTTTCATTGGTCTATACTCTTTACTAGAATTCAGCGAGACATTTGGTTGGAGCGCACTCCAAACTAAATTCAGTTTATATCATGAGAAGTGGCAAGTGGATGTCTTCAAAGTGGTTATTCAGGCAGAGAGCATGGAAGACGGTACCTTTATACAATCTACTCTTCTCTTTTCTTCAATACATTGGTTAACCAAAGTTTTCCAACTGCGCCAACTTGCAACCCTCTGTCAACAAAGTGTTCCCGTTACCTTAGTTGCTGGCGGAGAAAAGGGGACCCTTTCGCGCGTCCTCAACACCTTTATGAATCCCGTCACCCACCCGCTGCTCCCGGTGTGTCACGTGCCTGTGCATAGAACAGGCGACCGTCTTACAAGCGGTGTTCTTTTTGTGTCCAGTTTCCCGCCTTTCCGGGTCAGCTAACGATCAAGCAGATTAACACGATTCGCTCCTCTATTGGGCTGCTCAATAGGTTTTGTTTGTGGATTAGTTTTCATCGACACACTTATCATTGATTCATACAATTCCCAAATCAGAAAAGAGTATTGTCTCTACGGTAAACCAGTAGCTTTGTCTCTCTCGCCTCTGATACACAACTCCATTTTTGAAGAGTTGGGTGGTACTAATAGTAAGGATTAGGAACGATGTGCTCAGCCATTTCTTTTTAGGGTTACCGCATTCGTATACCATCCACGAAACGGACAATGTTGACGTACGTGCTCCTCTAATAGCGGTATTTCCTGGTCTACTCCAACCACAATATTAAAGGCGGTTGCTGAAGAGCTCAAGCACCAGCCTACTACCATCTGGGGTTGCTCCATTACCATCCCATTAAAGGAAAAGGCTGTGCAAATAGTGGATAAACTGACACCCGAAGCGTCCGAAATTGGTGCTATTAACACGATTATTAGGGAGGAAAGTGGGCATCTTATCGGAGACAACACTGGTACTTGAGGGCGCTACTTCCTTTGTGCACTCTAACGTCCTATTATCCTCTAAGACTGGCTGGGAATCGTTCGTTGTCTGAAACGCGCCGCTAAAAAATGCAAACTGAAGATATTAAACAACAAAAATACGGCACTTGTTGTAGGCGCTGGTGGAACAGCGAAAGCCGCAGTTTATGCGCTGAAGAAGCTAAAATTTACGACTATTTATGTCTATAATCGTACTTCTTCTTGCATCCCGCCACGTGCTTGGATGCCTAATGTTTTCTCTTGCGTGCAGGAACGAAAGTCAGTGCGCATTCCCTTGCCAGACGTTTTAACGTGTTTGCCTGTGACAGTCTCAGCGAAGTCGAGTTAATGACTTTTGACGTTAACTTCTTTATCTTTCCAAATCAAGCCAAATAGTTGTAATAACAAAGTTGCAGGTGGTTATATCAACGCTGCCCAACCACGCGGAAGTAAACCTACCGGAAAAAATAATCTTGTGCAAACCAGTTTTTTTCCAGGTGTCCTACAAAGCAACGAATCTGGAATTTTTGCGAAAATTGTTTGAGGGAGGATGCAAACGTATTTTATCTAATCCTCTTCTTCGCAGTTTTCTGCGGCTCACATGTCTTACTCGTTAAAAAGTTATTGGCGGCGAAGAATTGCTCATCTATCAGGGGCTTGAGCAGAGCAAGAGATGGACGGGCACACAAGTTTTGCCGGAAAGAACCATTAGAGCTAAGCTACACGAGCGTTGTGGGAGTCTATACATAACAAATTTTTTTTAATAAAAGCTACTACGTCACAGATTTTTTATTATTGTTGTGTGTCTGACGGAAGGGCGTTTGCAGGGCAGCCGAGGAGCGTGCGCTGCTGCTTCATAACCAAGACGGCCCCCGGCGAGCCTTTTGGGGACTTCTTAATCTGCTTGGGGGAGGCCACCATCACCGGAACTTTACTTTGAGCGCTTCCATGACTATAGTAGGCGGCCAGATTGGCGGCTTCTTGGAGGGTTTCCTCGTGGATGGCTTTACCCTGGGCGATTCCCGGCTTAACTAGCACGTGCGCCCCTGCATTTAGAAATAATAGAAATTGTGGGTAGTTAGTAAAAGCGAAGCGGCAAAGTCTTCAAGTAAAAAGTAAAAACTATTCGCTTACTGGAGAATATTTGCTTACTATAAAGTAAATTATTTAAACAACCAGAAGTTCCCACCACGTGTAGCCATAAATCCTCGTTTCGGTTGGCTATTTCGAAAGTAACCTTCTCATTTCCTTTAGCATTCCTTTTTCAAAAATTATATATTCAAAAGTACCGCAAAGTACTTTTACGTACTTTCCAACAAGTATTTGGTTTCCGTTAGGAAGTTCATATACAAAATGTAATTTAGCTTTCGCTTTGGCAGACCTTTTTTCTGCGACAGGTTTTTTATCTTTTTGGAACGAGTCGAAAAACTTATTTTTGCTTAGCATAAGTCGACCTTCCGTGCTAATATGTATAATCTTATAAAACTTCAAAGTGAGTTCAAAATTGATACCTTCTTGAGGAACTAAGATACTCTTGAACGAGTTTTAAATCTTGTTTTAGATGACCTAATTCAACTTTACATTGTTCTTCAAGCTTCCTAAGTTCTACTAAACCTCTGCGCATCCTAGTAGCTTCATGATAAAGGCTTTTCCCCTATGTTTGGAGATGTTAGATTTAAGTAAATTTTAATTCATTCAGTTAATGCTGCTTTTATCTTGAAACCTCATCCGCCGGAGAATGGAATTTTTTTGTGTCCAACATAACTTCGATTTCCGAAATTTTGTTAGCATCTAGATAACCTCATACATTATAGGCAAAAAAGGATATTTTTATATTAAAAGAAACCTGCTTCATTTAAACAGTTGTAATCAATTAACTTTACAGAAAGGGGATGCGGCGTGGCGCGGTTATACTTGGGAATTATAAACAAATTTGAAGTAATAAGTTGAGCTTTGTAAAATATATCTTTTTCTTTAGCCAACCTTTGAATTTCTCGCTGAATACAAAAAAACTTCCTTTCCTTTTTTATTAATTCTGAAAAAAGTGCCTGCTTTATAGCTTCCGGGCTAAAAATTTTGCTATATGCCACGTCATTTTCATTATAGTTAATGGGTCCCCCATTACTTGCGAAAGAACGCCACCAAGTTATACGTGAGTTTGTTTTCTGTAAAAAGGGATAAGTAGTAAGAAGCTTACTACGGAAAGCCATAAACAAGCAACAATGAGGAAGCCGATGTATCTCTCACTTGATAAAGTTAGGGCTGGTGACATAGCAGTTAGTATACCCGCCCCTCTAATGGTTAGCCATACTATTGTGCAGGTCACTTTATTGAAGTTTGATATTTTTACCCTTGTTGGATTTGGTCTGTGTTTTTCTGTAGTGGTATCTTATTATTATGTCAGACGTTTTTCAGTTTAAAAAGTTTCAAACTATATATAATCATATTTTTATTAAGTCTTTTTTTTGGTTACTAAATATACTATTTCTACATGGTGGAATAGACTTATTATAGCAAAGATATAATAAATAAATCGAAGTTTTGCTCTTACTAAGTGGCCACCTTTTGGGTCAGCAACTTCCTCTTTAATTTCTGCAAGAATAATCTTAAATGCTTTCAGCTACGATCTTCGTTACGCAATAACAATTTTTTTTCTCGAAAAAATAGGCAGGTTATACCTTTTAACAATTTAATAATTATATTCAGTGAGGTTTCAATATAACAATGATTTGTCAATCCTGTGATCATAACGAGTTTATGACACCTAACTATGGATGAATGTTTTTTTTAGTTAATCCCAGCAATTATTGCTGTATATTATTGGCTCCGCTTTTAAAATATTCTATAAAATATTGCACAACTGGGTGCTATGATTCAGGCGTACTGGTTTGTTCTTTTCCAAAAGAAATAAAGTGATCTTATTCCCAGTTTTGCTTTTCAATGACATAATCCAAAAGAAAAAAAGGTTGTGCACCCCTGATTCAGTATTACAAATTTATTTAAATCCAACTACTGACCACATTCTTTATAAACACAATAAATCAAAATAGCAAGAGATTACTTAGTTTACCTGAATACAGTTATTTATTACTAAAAATACGAGTAATATGTTTAGCATTGGGTAATGTATACGAATATAATACTTTTAAGAACTAATAAGTACTAAACTTTTCACTTGCTTTACACATTTTGTTTGTATCTAAACAAGCGAAGACTTATTAGCTTTAACTAAAACGCTATAGCATGAAATAACGATTTTTTCACGACTCTTATTGCTCTAGTAAAAAAAAAATTTGTAGAGTACTGAGTAGTTTGTGTTGGTGTACACGTTTATAGAAATTTACCGAATTTAGAAAAGAAAGTATTATTCTTTCTTAATATATAGTGATTGCACTTTCACATGGTCTTCTAAGTAGTAAACCGTATTACTGATTGATGCATCGCGTTGAGCTAACAATTTTACCACGAAAGGTCAGAGCCTGAAACCCTAACTCAAAAGGGAAGTGTACGAGGGGATCCTATACTTTATACTTTCAGACGCTTGGTGTCCGCATCTGCTGTATGTTAAGTATGTGCAAAATAATAGCGCAAGGCAGACCGTCTTATAACTGCGTGAAACAAGTCTTAGTTTTGTAAATTTTATTATTTATAGTTTCCTACACCTTGCGACGGTTTGAATGCGTCTATGAAAAATATTTAAAGTATTGTTGCACAAGTACGCCATATCAGTCAGCAATCGCAGAAGTTTGTATTTGTGTACTTGAAGTGCTGCCAGCTTTCAATATTTCTGAGTTTTTGTTTTTAAACTGGATTATTTGTATATTTAAAATATATGGAAAGGCAGCCAGGCGTGGTAATTACAGCGCACTGCAACTACATTGTTATACAATTGGTTCTACTTAATACGCCCTCATAGATTTTTTTAAAACTAAAATATGCCTATAAAATGGTTACTATTCTACGGTCTACTGCTATGTATCACGCTCTACATGCTTCAGCTAAAGACTAAACTTGCCTTAGGCGACGTGTTTATCAAAGTCCAAGTATTTTAACTGAGATGGTTTTTTAGTCGCATACTTATTGTCTAAAAGAAAAGGATGCTCAGCATGGATGTGAGTGGTTATTTCTATGACTATCAAGCTGAGTTTCAAACCACTTTATACCCTTTGCTACAATTAGTCTAATATTGTTTACTTTTGCGTGCATATAAAGCTTACTTGTTTTATTAAACATTAACACTTAGTGCTCCTCCCTTCTGGGCGAAGGAGCTCATAATCGGGAGGCCTAGCTGACATGGGCGCTGTCCGGTTTCTCCAGGCGGCCTCAGGTACTGTGCTAAAGGCTGTTTCTCCCAGTGGTGATCTTTGGCTGTTTTCCATTACACTAGACCAAATGGTGGGTGTCCAGGCCCAATATTTCCCGCTTTTTAGCCCTTTGGGACAGTCATTATATCTCTATAAGAGCGTACGCTAGTGGGCACTCGTATTGCCCGCTACTCGGTTTGGAAGCCCTTACCAATAATGATGAGTACAAACTATAATCGACAAACGTAACACCAGGAAAAGCGTGGGTCCTGATAAAATTCTAGTTAAAATGCTTTAAAAACTTTCTGTAGCCGCAATTAATTACCTTGCAGAACTCATTAGCTCGGTTATTATCATGGTTATTTTCTTTTTCGATGGAAGGAGGGTGACGTTGTTTTCATATTAAAAAGATATCGATCAAGTAACCACGCTAATCTTATTGCCCTATGCCTACTTTCCTGCTTAGGTAAATTTGCAGAGGCTGTGATCCTGATAAGGTTGCAAAAGTTGGTTGATGATGAAAGCCTTATCCCAGTTTATCATTTTGTTTTTCGAAGGAGCCACTCTACCACTCCTGATAAACACAGATAACGCCCTCAATAGAAGAAACCCACGTTTGTGGTTTTTTGATACAAAAAAGGCTGTTAGCAAGGTATGGCATAAGGGTCATATACCTAAAATGGCCAAATGTGCATTTTTCGCGTACTTGATACTTGATACGAGTTATAGAGTCATACATCAGCAGTAGATCCTTCATGGTCCGTCTAAAAACAGGTGTAAATTTCCTAACTACTTAACGCTGGGGTCCTTATTATCTCATATTTTTATACTCAAGTTACATGTCTGTCCTACATTCTCGCTATCACTCAAACTTCCTTGGTGTTGTATGCCGATGACATTAATTAATTATATGCAACTCCATATGAAAAAAGAAATAAGTCTTGTAAGACCCTTTTCTTTCTTTTTTTGAGATAAGCATGGTGTGATTCTTTAAAAGGTTAACGTTACTTTCCACGTTGTTAACCAATCTTCAAAAAAGTTTAGGTGGCCCTCGTCCAGATAACTCGGTGTATTTATGGATAACAAACCTAATAGGAAGGCTCACATTGAATATTTGGTTAAAAAATTAGAAATACGACACAAGCTTTACACTATCGTGCAAAATTATCTCAATGTTTTGCATTTTTTCATTTAGTTAGGAATAAATTTTAATAAAGTAATGAATGACTTTGTAATTTATACACAGTAAACTCCTATGTTCTAGCTACATTTTGCTAACACTCGATATTAAATTGGTTTAATATCCAAAAAGATATGAGCCTGTAAAGTTGAAAGATTATAGAAACCAATTTGCACTTAGAAAAAATTTAATTTAACAAACGAGTTTTTAGTAATTAGTTTAGCTCCCTTCAGCCAGAATCACTGCTTGTATCCTCTTTGCATACTGGCAATTGGATTATAGCATTGATCGGGTGTTATATTTTGCCATTCTGGTAGCGCACGTGTGCAAAACTTGTCCAAGGCAGCAGGAGCTGATTCATTTCATTTGATCTCAATTTTCTCTCCAAGATACCCCGTGCATGCTCAATGGTAGTGAGATCAGGAGATCTAGCACTAGGACGACTGTAATTGGAGTCATAATCGCACCGATAGTGCAGTGTGAAAATGGGGTATTATCCTGCTAAAGAGTCATTTCACCAAGACTAAGGTTGTACCAATATCGCATGTTCTGGGGGGTCATTCTTAGTAATGTTTCTATATACGCGCTTGCGGTGAGGCTTCCTGTCACTTATTTAAATACCGACCCCCTTAGGTGTTATACAGGACCAAATCATAATATATCCTCCCCATTGTTTAAAGGGTTGCACCACTGGTGACCAAGGTATTCGATTGTCGCCGGACCGCTTCCAACACCACCTAATATACCATCTGAACCATATCGATCGATCTTGGTCTCGTCCGAAAAAATTACTTTTTCTCACTCAGAACTGGACCAATTTTCGATTTCTTCGCAAATGCAAATCTTAGTCGCTTGTGATGATCTGTCAAAGTGGGTTTAATTAACTTTTTTTTATTGCATGAGGACAGCAGGATGCAATGCTCTCGATACGGCCGATCTTGAAACTGGTCTATCTAGTGTTTTTTCTGATTTTTAAAGCCTTCTGTGCAGATTCAGTTGAACCCAATGTCACTTGTCATACAAGTCGAGCTACATCCCGGTTTTTTAAGATCCTTTGGATGCCCAGGTTCATTGTAAGGACAATTTGGATCATATTGAGCTTTGACCCCGGATATTGTGGCCTTACTGGCTCCACATTCACAAGCGATCTCAGTATAAGGCTTGTCTTGATCTAAAAGACAGTCGATATCATTTCTTAATCGATTGAAAGTTTACGCATTATTAAATTTGAGAACTCTTAATAAGCTATCCTTTATAGTCACTCAAACGCTTTTAAAAAACCCCCTATGGCGGAATGATTATGAAAATTTGGAATAAAGATTTACACAATTTTGCACGTAGTGGGGTCACGTGCAAATCGTTCCAATCGTACTTTAGCTTTAAAAAGCGATGAAGATTTAAGTAATAAAGCGATTCCTCTGATATAAACTACATTAAAGAAATCTCAATCTAAACCTATATATATATATATATATAAGGGATCAATACAACCTATTATTAATTAAAGTGTTAAATAATTTTGATGAAAATTAAAAAACATAACAATTTTGAACGATGGCGTATATCCGCTTTTACGCAAAAATGGTTTCCTTAACCTTGATAACAAATCATTTATTTACAAAGCTATTTCAAAAATAGTGATGAGTTATGCATCAGTAGCTTGGACCTCCCTCGACCTCCAACCTAGATATTGTGGAACTTAAGCAAAATGACTTTTTAAGTATATTTTCGGGAGCTTCTTGGTAAGACTCTCCAATTTGCTTCATGAAGGCGAACTGGAAATATTTTTGAATTACTAATGCTTAGCTGAGGACTGCAATGAAAAATCTGAAAGTCATTGATAAATTACTAGCTAATTCCCTAAATAATAACCTCTCTCACTTTCTCAAATATAGACGATAAAACATCTCCTCTACTATATTCGATAATAACTTTAAATGCAAGATTTACTAAAAAATAATATATTAATTCTAAATGGTAAGTAACAAACAGTAATAATATTTGTAATAACATTAATAAGTAATAATAAAGTTATATTAGTGGTAATATTTAATATAATATCATTCAATAATAAAAAAGCGATATAATATTTTAATGCTACTGCTATATTAATTATGATATAATGATTCCTATTTTAAAGAGTGATGTAGTTTTACTAAGAAAATTTTATATTATTATTGTATCCATAAAGGCAGTGAAGGCTTACTCACATGATTTAATATACTTGGACGGCTTTTGAAGGCAGCAACTTAGCTCCTCCCTTCTAGTGGAGGGCACCTAGCTCGGGAGGCCTGGCTAGCAGTGGTGCTGGCCGGAGGTCTCAGTTCTTGTGCCTAAGGCTGTCTCTCTCAATGGTGGTTTTTAGCGTATTCCAACGCACTAGACAAAGGGTTGGTGCTCGGGTCCCAATATTTTCCGTTTTTTCAGTCCTTTGGGAAGGTCATCTTTATAAAAAGCGTACGCTGGTGGGCACTCGTGCCCAACCCTGCAGAAGAGGGGAATCCAGGTTAAGTAACTCAAGGTCTAAAGAAGACCGCCATAGTATGCCAGGACTAAAAAAAAGCAAAAAAAACGTCTCATCTTTGCAGGAAGAGATCCCCTCCGGATCCCTTCACTTGCGGGCATGTTAATTGAGCAGTGTAAGTTAATTTACTCATAACGATTGTAGCACGCCAGTGCAATAATAAATAAGGGACTTCTTTTAACTTTTATAAAAATAAAGTAAATACTTATTAATATTTTAGTTTTGTTTCATTTCAAATTGCTCTTAAGTGCATTACAAAAAAAAATAGTTACATAATTATAAAATGTTAGGTAATAAAAACGTTTGAAAATTTTTTCTTTGCCTGTGTATATATTTTTTTTTTATACCACAGCTTCAGTAAAATTTCCACTTTTACCTTCGATAAAGAGATTAAGGACTATAGTGCAAACTTTTATGTGAGTCCTCGATATTTAATATGATTTCCATACGTCTAAAGTTGGCCACTTTAGGAATTTGGGTGATGGAAATAATATGAAAGACACTCCAAGGCAGCAGACTAGAAATAGAGTCAATACAAATCTATTTACTTTCTTTTTTTTTTAAATTTTTTGTTTTCCCCTTAACTTTAGATATTTCAGTTAGTTTTCCAATGTCTTGTAAATCCACATTCCACCGGCGATAAAAAGCTTTTTTATAAAAATGCTAAGGAGCATGAAGATAAAAAATATATTTTTTTTACGTTGCACGAAATTTTTGATGCAATAGAACTGTTAAGAACAACTGAATCCAAGTTTATTACTATAGGTTTACCAAATATTTTTAAGTTTCTATTTGATCTGTTTAACTTTTATTTGTTGTTTAACAATAAATATTTATTGTATAAGTTTTACTTATATACTAATTTATATGTATATATACATTTAATTTTATAAGAGAACTGCGTTCTTCAACGTCATTTGCCTTTTTTTACTTATTAGTTATAATTTTTTTATTAATAAGACCACGAATTAAAACTTACCCATATACGAGTCCTATATAGTTAATTTTTATTTTTTTAAATAATTTTGAAAATTAGTTGATAGGAGTAATTGATTTTCTTCAAAAAAATTATATTGTTAGCATTGTTTATTTATACCTTAATATCGAAAATAAATCGTCGCTGTTATTTATTTACACAAATTTAAAGTTTATGTTTACCATATTTTTTTTAGATCAGTAATACATTACTAAAAATTTACTCAACGAAATTTTATTATTAGGTAATTGATTATAAAATAATTTTTTTATTTGTAAAGATCGCCTTGAAGATGAAAAAAAAACTCAGCACAATTTAGATCTTACTGAGGAAAACCCACGCTATCAATATATATTTAAAGGAAAAGATCACTGCAGTCCTGAAGATCTATTAGTTGCTTCTTCTTGTTTGTTAAGTTTATTAGAAAAAGGAGTTCGCATGACCGACGAAGTTTACGAACTTTTTCTCGCTTCACTTGCGTTAGCAGTAAAAGTATTGCAATTCAAAAATATACTTGTATTGCCCATCTTATTTATAAAGAACTTGTAGTAATTTAAAATCTTTTTATTTTTCTTTTGAATTTTTTAGTTAATTATAGTTTAAGGTTTACATATTTATACTTTTTTAAATAAATAATATATAATTTGTGTAACAGTTTTAGTTAACCGAGATTGAATTTTATAAATTTTTTATTCATTATTTATCTCGATAATACTACTTTGAAGTTTTTATAAATTTATAGTTTATGTTTTTTTACCTTTTTATTTAAAATCTACACTTTTTCGTGATTATTTATAGCTTAATAAATAAGCTACAAATTAGTTATTTTAGCTTCTGTTAAACTTTTATAGGATATTTTCAAGTTAATTACGAATATTTTTGTGGATTTTTTAAAGAATATGGGAATAATAAATTTATAAGAACTGTTTTAGATGTAAAACGATTTCTTTTCTTTAAAAAATTGTTAAGTTAGTTTTTAAAAAGTTATTTTTATTAAATATTTTTTTAATATTTTATAAGAGTACGAAAGAATACATTTAAGATTTCTTTATTAACAGTTTTTTACTTTTAATTTTTTTTTACTATCAAGGAAAGTTTATTACCAATGCATAAGTTAAGAACTAATGTTTATTTATTATTAAATCTTTTCCTATTTTTGGTTTTTTTTTTAAGTTATTTTTATCGAAAGCAGATATGAACCAAAAGCTTTTGTATACTTTTCTAAGCTTATTTAATTAATAAATTCATTTTTGGCTGTAAATTTAAATAAATTTATATTTTAAATAAAAATTAATTTTTAGGTTAAAGAGTTAATTTATATATTAATTACAAAATAACTTATTATTAAATTTGTTAATAAGAATTATATTTTAGGATATAAACTTATTAATTTTTAAAACTTTTTATAGTTTTATAATAAATTTAGTTAATATATCTACTAATATATTAAATATATTTATCTGTATGCGATAGACTTCTGCTGATTCAGGTAATGCCGATGCACAATTTCAGTTGGCTCATTTACTATATCGTGGTATTTATTCAGTTTTATACTTAGCATTTTTATAGATTTATTTTCACTTTTTAATTAAAAATTTAAAAATCAATTGATTCATGACTTTTACTTTTTAAAATTTAAATAAATTATGTTTAGGGATTCTTAGTCCATTAAGTTTCTATTAAATTATGGAGTTTTTTAAAACGTGTAATTTACTTAATAATTTTAATAAAATTAAAAGTGAATTATATTCTGCTTTTGTGTTGTAACTATATTTTCATAACTAATATTATTGTTGAAGCCTATATTAGAGAATAATTAAAAAAAAGGACAGCTTATTATTCATTTATTTATATATTTAAAGTGCCCTTATAAATATTTTCTCTAACCAAAAAATTAAAGTAAAAGAATTATTAATAATGTTAAGGATCTTTTAACTGATGAATCTTTTAAGTTTAAAAAAATTTTCAATTTAAACTAAAATTCTAACTATTTGCTCTTGAAATTATTTTAAAAATTTTAAGTTCTATTTGAAAGATCTTTTAATAATATAAAATACCATTACTTTGAAGCCGAAGGGGCATTAGATTATGCTGAATCTTTTCATTTTTTTTAAAATGCTTTAGTACTTAATTTACTTTTTACTACTATAAAAGATAGTATTAAAGATCTTGAATTTTTTTAACTTAATGTTTAAATAAAGATTTTTATTTTTCATGATGTCATTTGGTATTATTAGCACGCATATATACACTACGAAAACGCGTGAAAATTTTATAGTAAACTGAATTCCTTTAATTTTTCACAAAAAGTGTAGTAAAGTTCAGCTGTTGCAATTTTTTTTAGCAAATTATGTTTTTTTAATATAACTGAATTGATTTTTATTTGAAGTATATAATATTTATGAAACTGTTGGCTTCAGCAGGTCGGTATAGACCCTTTTTTAAAGTAATTTGGCTTTTATTGAAATCCTTTTATTATATTATGTATATAAAGATACACGTTAAAAGGCTCACGCTATTGCGTTGCTTTTCTCCCTTCAAAAATCTTTTTATCTTTTTTTTTAAATCTAATTATTAAAAAAAAGTCAAAACAAGTTTACATTAATTTTCACTTTTACTGTAGGTTTGTATAATCTTCTTAAATTCTCTTATAAAATAAACAAAATTTTATTAAAAATTTCTTAAGTTGTTTAAATTAGTAGTTGAACAAGAAAAAAAATTTCTTCATTAAAAGTTAAGGCTTTAGTAATATTTTTCGAAGTTTTTTTTACAAAATAAAGAAGTGTTTAGGAAAGTTTATAATTTATTTAAAACAAATATAATATTATTATATATAAAAATTGTTAGTATGGCAACTTAGATCTTTTTTTTAAATTTTTATTAAATTAATTTTTAGTTTATCCCCTATGAAGCGCCACAATAACTTTTTATACTATTACTGTAATTTTACAAAAGTTATTACATACTGTTTACTATATTTTTATAAAACAGCATTTTTTTAATTTTTTTTTTATTTTTAATTTTCTATTAATAGAAAATTTATTAAGATCTTGGTATATTTTCTTTGGCCTATTAACTTTTAACTTTTCAACTTTTTAATTTAAAACCTTTTTTGCTCTCTTTATAATATTTTCTACTATTTCTTATCTGTTATTCACAATTTCATATCTGTGCAGGTATTGGTTTTAAAAAAAACATAGAAAAAAGTGCTGTTATTTATAAAGAACTGGCTCAAAAAGGACACCCTTATGCACAAGTTATTTATTATATATTACTATAAATATAAGTTTCACTAACACAAACATTTATTATTATAAATAATTTTTCATAAACTTTAAGCGCTAAAAATATTTTATGTTTTTTATTAATTTGTTTAATATAAACCTTTTTAAAATTTATATATGTATATTCTCTTATAACTATTTTAACTGCAGTACCCACGACTAGTTACTTTTTTTTAATTTATAAACCTGCTAGTTACTATAAGCTATAGTTTAATAAATATATGCTTACTAGCTACAAATAAAACTTAAACTTTATTAGAAGTAACGCGTATGTTAGTACGACGCAGCCATTCTTGTAGACCTTATCGCGGCGCCGATGGTTTTTATATACACGATAAGTGTTCAGCCATTTACCTGAGCATGTTGTAGTATCTCCTTTAAAAAGAAATATATGAAAACCTTTCTACTCCCAAAGGGTCGTTTTACTTTTTTTTATATATATAAGAGAGTACATTTTTAGTAACCAGTAACTCAAGAACTTTAAACTCACCATTTCCTAGGGGTTCGTAACGCAGCCGCATCGTTGTCTTTTTTTTTATGTATATACTTCTAACCACTACAGCTTCATTATGGGGTGATGTGCACGAAAGGAGAAGGAGTCAAGCAGGACGCTGCTGTGGCACTTCGTGTCCTTGAAGTAGCGGCTGTAAACAAAATGCTTCAGGCGAATAATTTCATTGGTGTTTTACTTTTATAATAAATAGTATTATAAACTAATATTTTGTACTGGTTAAAGGCGAAATTTATAGTAAAGGTATTTTTCCCGTTCATAAAAACTATGAAAAGGCGCTCTACTATTTTAAAAAAGCAGCAGCGGATGGTAATTTTTTAATTTAATTATTACGTTATATAATAATAATAGTTTTTTTTCTCCTCGTAATAGGCGATCCCTTTGGTTTTCATAATCTAGGAATCCACTACAGAGAAGGAAAAGTTATTATTTATTCCGTAACTGGAGTTATTATCTGTGCGTGCCCTTGAAGAGAGTAGTTTTTAATAACAAGTAAATATATGTAATAATGATTCCGGTTGCATAATAGTACAGTTATATGAGTAATGCGCCACTGATAATAAAAAATAGTGACAGTTATCAAATTTTGTAAAGTTTCAGTACTTTTTACTAAAAATATATTTTCTTTAATTTCCTCTTTTTGGCTTCAGGGCACACTAAAAGATATGCAAAAGGCATTAAACTATTTTGAAAAAGCGGCCAACATGGGAAACCCTCCATCGATGGTCCACGTTTATCTTTCTATTTACTATTTCATTCACAATATCAATGTTTGTAGAATTTATAGTTTTATTAATATAAAAATTATAATTTTATGATAAAATTGTTGTCAACAGCCCTTTTCATAACCTAAATTCTAACATCAAAGCCATTTGTATATAATAATAAGGCTTGCGCCGCGGATATTTACGAAACACAATGCAATTATAAAAAAGCGAATGAATGGATAGACCGTCTTGAAAAATTAGTCAAAACAAATAATAAGCCTTCAAAGGAAAGTATACACAAAATAATATAACGTGCGTTGAGTGAGAGTAAATGTTTGCTTATACTCTAATACTCAAAAATGCTAATATTATATTTTTTTTTGCTACTTGCCTATAATAAAAGTTATGTATCCCAAATATAAACTTAAAAACTACTATTCTTGTATACTTTCTCACCATATTACTTATTATATATTAAACAAGAAGTAAATAAAAATCACTTTATTATAATACCCAAAACTTCTTAGAAAACTCATAGTAAGTTCTGGCAATTTTTATTGCAAGAGGAAAAGAAAATAGTATACTTTATAAATATACTCACGACCCGTATAGCCGCGTAAACGCCTTCAGCTTTTATTCAGGAACAGAAGTCGTTTTTTCTATGAAAGTATATAATTATAATAAAGCTGTATATAAAATGCACGTTAAAATAATAAAATGCCCATCTTACGTAGTTGCTACTATAAAGTTCTATAACTGTACTATTCTGATTCTAATAGGTTAGCACTAAAATTTATTGTGAACAATTTTAAAAATTACTAAATGCTAAAAACATGTTTACTACTACTAATAAAGTTACTTAAAGTTCCAAAGTAGATTTCATACGCATAATACGTTGTACAAAAAGTTTCGTTATAGAAGATTACTAATTAACATTTATACACTCAGGAAATAATCTCTTTTATAAATCAACTTTTACTATTAAATTAGTCATACTTTAGTAGGAAGCTTCAACGTAGCAGGGAACACGGGAGGCGCGCTGGCTACCTCGCCAAATTTAATAACTTCAATTTGATTTAAACTCTCAGATTGAACCTCAAGATCTTTTTTTTTTCGCTTTTTCAGTTTCTTTTGAGTTAAAAAGCTATAAAAAATATAGTATAAAAAGTTAATAAAAGTTTTGTGCACTTATATTATTTTTCTTATATATAAAACAATAAAAATTAATAAACTAAACAATTATGGGGACAACTAAATTCTTTTTAGAAAAGCTAAATATAGAAAACTTTTAAAGTATATCTTTCAATAATTTTTATTTAAAATTTGAATGCTCCAACTTTAAAGAATCTTGCAAGAGTTAAAAAATTACTTTTATTAAAATACATTATACTACCTCTTTAGATTTATATAAATTATATTAATTTTACTTCTTTCTTTTTCCGCTTAAAGGTTTTTTCTTTTCAAAAAGTTCCACTTCATCCAAAATATTATTCGGAAAACTTTTCGTAGTATTCTATTAAAAAATAAAATATATTATTCGAAAAACTTTTCGTAGTACTCTACTAAAAAATAAAATAAGATCATACTTCGTAACCACAATATATTTTATTGACTTATCTCTATTTTATAAATAATTAATATTTTCAAGTTATATTCGTTATAAACCTAACCAGTATTTTTTTTTTGAAAGTATAATAATTCAAAGTTATAAGCCGGATAACCAAGTGAAAAGTCAGCGCATTAAAAAATAATAAACAATTTAAAATATATTTTATTCAAACCCCTTAATTTCCAGCCCTACAAAAGTTACTTAGTAAAAGAATTAAATCTTCACTGGTTCTCAAATTTTTTTTATTAAAGAAGTAAAATATTTCAAAACAAAATTTAATTTGAAAGTTAACTTTCAATTAAATTCATTATAAGGAGCAAAAGCCAGTCAAACCAAAGTCATTTCTGCCAGCACTACCATTTTATAAATAAACAAGCTAAAATGATTTATAGCACGCACGCTCTTTTGCGAGAGTCACTAAATCTGAGCTTTAATAGAAGAGAAATTGACGAACAGCACGATAAGTTAACAAAAAGCAAGGGAACTCCGTTCTATACTCGTACATCCTCTATTTTATACAGAACAAAAGTTTACATTTTTAGCGCAAATTACTTATAATAAAGTCCAAAAAGTTACAATAAATTGTTTTAAAATTTATATATATATATATAAAGTTGTTAGCAAAGATAAATCATGCAAGCAAAAAAAAAATTAAACGAAGAAACTACGAATTTAGCAAGAAGCTACTTATATAATATATTTAAAAAAAAAACAGCTTAATTGGAAACAAAGCAAAAGTATTATTAAATATAAAAGACGATAAAGAACTAATAAAAATAAAAGAACAAGAAGTAGTTTCTATAATAATTACACTAAAAATTAATTATACAAAAAAATAAGTTAAAAAAGTAACAAACAATTTATATACTACAAATTAACTTTTTCTTTCCTCTTTCTAAGTTTCACCTCCAGTCGTTTTTCCTTCTCGCCTATAATAGTAAAGTGAATATAAATATATATATATATTTAGAATATAAAAATGAATGAAATATTAAAAATAAGTTATATATAATAAACTAAATAAACAAAAGAGGTTTAATGTAAGTTCACGGCCACACAACACAAAAAAGTAATGGAAAACTAATCCTATAAATTAAAAAAGTTTATTATAAACTAATTGACAAAAGAAGGTGTAATTAGGCACAAATATAAAGTAATTTCACATTCCTTTTATATTTTTTAGAAGCATAAATTTCTGAAAAGATCTAGACGGGCGGGCTTCAACTTCTTCACTCGGGGGAAGGGCATTAGAACTGTTAAATGTAATAAGTAAGAAAAAATAAAGGCAAAATTGTTATAAAAAGGAATAATGAAACAATGATTAATGCTCAAAAGGAAGTACAAATAAATATCTGTTCTTCTAGAGTTCAAAATCCTAAACTTCTTATGCCGACTTAGTCTGCCCATGTCAGCCGTACAATAACTCTGGGAACGTGATTTCTATTAAAATATAGGTGTATAGTGATTGGCTTTCAGTTAATGCTTACTTGAAGCCAAATACTTTTTTTTCGTTTCATTGGAGTATTATAGCTTTAAAAAAAAATTATTCTTACAACTTTTTGGCTGAGTTACCGTTGTTCGTTACATAATTTTCGGGAAGCCTGCAAAAATACATAGTAGAAAGCTAGTTTTTTCCTATAAAAGTTCATTGGGTAAATTTTCTTTTTTATTATATTTTTTCTTTGATGCTTAAGTTCTCAAACAGGTAAGTGGCTACTTGTTACCTTTTAGTCCAACGAAAGTATATGGTATATCAGGTCTTTATGGACATAGTACATAAATTAGTTTCTTGTTACGTGGGTACAATGGCACAAAAGTATAGGAAATGCTTTGGCCCACTGCAAGCCCGCTTAGGTAACTGAAAGTTTATGCTAAATAGCATCCACGCATAAAACTTTTAAGTTAATTTTCCTCTTGCATTATGTTTAGATAAATTCTGCATTTTGTTAAATGTAATTTATTGATTTTTTTTTACTTTGGATTATAATAAAATTTAAACTTGATTTAATGTATTATATTAAACTAGCATAACGTACATCTACAACTGGAATTTTATTATACAAAATTTCATATCTCTGAAGTTACTATATTTGTGCTTTTACTTTTTTTCTTTAGCAATAATATATTCATTAATGGCGTTTAGAAAAGTCAATTACACTATTAAAAGTGGAACATTATGGGTAACTTTTGCAAATGCTTAAAAATTTATATAAAACTCTTTAATAAAATCTTGTTAAAAAAAAAATTTTAGACGTTTGTATGCGACACACACCCAATTTATTCCTTTATTTGTACGAATTGAAGAAAACAATAGTTAGAAGGGGCTTACTAATAATAATGAAAAAGAGAAAACTGTTTATATCTTTTTATTTATAAAAACCGTATTAGGGCAGTTAGTAGAATATTACGGGCTTTATATGGTTCTTAGCTTGTTTTTTTGAACATTCTAACTGTTGAGCAAACTCGTGCTTTACTATAATCAGTTTCTTTTTGGAGAGGCTAAGGCTTAACAGGAGGACATTTATACTAATAAATACTAATAACAAATAAATACGCAAAGCCATCCTACTGAGATGGAGTGTTACCTTCGTAGCTCAGCTGTAAAAAGAGCAATGAGGCGCTTGCTCCAGATCATGGGTGTCCGACCGACTCTTTTTTTCGGCCTTAGACGGTTTTGCGTATTTTAACCCTTAACTGGCAAAACTGGGTCTTAAAATAGAATATTGTTCTTTCCTGCCAAATCACTAAGTTGAACCTAGGAGAAGTGGTAAACATAAGTAACCAGTAACCTATAAGGGGTTAAACCTCGCCCTTATAAATTTTCATACGGTTGGAATCGAACTCGCGCCCTTAAGCTTACAGTAGCCGCAGGGGCTCACAGAGCTGGAAATTCTAAATTCATATATATCTCGGGAATCATTGAATGTTACGCTCGGCCGTTTTCGTTAGCTTCCGGTAAAGTACTCTCTTAGGCTGATACTAATTTGCATCAGTTTATGTATGTTACTTCGGGAGTTAGCAACACTGAAAGTCTGAGGGACCTCCTCCGATAGTAACGGTTTATTGTGTAATTATCGTTTTATTTTTGGTATTAGTTTACAAGTTAAGAATATAGAACTTTTGTGTAATTTTTTTGTAACTTCCAAATATTTTCTGATAGAAAATTATGTGGAGTTAAGAAGCAGAGCAAGCTCGTCTTTTGCGTTTGCACGTTGAAGTTCAGACAGACGAGGAGATACTTGATGATGGTGATGAGCACATAGGCGAAGATACCGCCAACTATAAAATCCGAGATCAAGAATATGACACAGAGGAAGAGTTACCAGATAACGAAAATGAAGTAGACGCCGGACCGCTGTATTTGGGAAAACACGGGAATACTAAGTGGCTTAAAATAACTCCACCAAAAAACTTTAGAACAAGGACATAAAATATAGTAACTCATTTACTCGGAGTAACTGCTTGCTCTAAAGTAAAAAATACTCCTATAGGTTGTTAAAAATGTTTTTTGACGAAGAAATTATTGACGTAATTGTTGAAAATACCAATAAATTTATTTCATCAAGCATATAAAACTTCGCTCGGGAAGGAGATGCTAAATTAACTAGTCGAAGTGGGATATTAGCTCTTCTTGGTTTATTGCATCTCATTGGTATTACTAAGAGCGGTAGACTAAACATTGAGCAATTATGGGCCACAAATGGTACGGGAATAGAGATCTTCAGACTTACTATGTCTCTTGTGAGATTCCGTTTTCTAATGGGGTACACACGATTCGACGTTAAAGAAAACTGAACCGAAAGAGATACTACAGACAAGTTAGTACCAATACGGCAAATTTTTCTTATATGTCGAAAACTGTAAAAACTCCTGTGTTCCGTCCAAGTATCTGACAATAGCTAAAAATAAGAGACTTTTTGAGGACACCCAACCCTAACCCAATAATTTATGCCACTTAAAAAAAAATCCAAAATATGGCGTTAAATTTTTACTCTGGCGGATGCGAATATATATTATACCAAAAATATGGAGGTATACGTCGTAACTCTGGAGGGACCTTTCAAAGTAAATAATGATGCTGTTAGTATTGTCTGACGACTTAGTGAACCAGTGTGGAACGCTAGAAGAAACATTTCCATAGATAATTGGTTTACTAGTGTTTAATTAGTTGATGTCTTACTAAACCGCCGACTAGAAAGAATAAACGGGAAATACCCCACTATTTCTTAATGGTAAAATTTGTCCACCGTTTTCAAGTGTGTTGAATTCCGGAAAAATACACATTAGTTCGTACAACCCCCAAAAAAGCAAGGCTGTGCTTTTATTATCAAGTTTGCATGAAACTGACAGCATTGACAAGAAAAAATTCTGGAGGAAAAACAGAAACCTGAAATTATATCAAGCTACAACCAAACCAAGGGGGGTGTAGATATGGTCGACAAATTATGTGCTTTGTATAATTGCGTCCGCAACAGAAGGCAGTAGCCAACGGTAGTATCCTTCAGTATGATGAACGTGAATGGAATAAATTCTCAATTTTTAAAGGAAGGAAACGTTGACAAAAGTAAATTTATGAAAAATTTTTTTTTGGAAAATCTATCAGTTGCACTTATTGACAAGTATTTGAGAGAGCGTGCGATAAACAAAATATTCCGCGAAACATAACTGCTAGAATAAAAGAAATTTTAGGTATTTAGGAACCGGAGATTTTAGAAAGCGACAATCATATAGGAATCCGCTCTAAATGACGGCGTAAAAAGAGAAAAATAAGATATTATTTAACAAAAAGTAAAATACTTGTTAGCAAAATGTAAAATATACTTGTGTTAATAACATTCCTTTGTTAGTTGTAACGATTATTGCGATAAATAGGTAATATTTAGTCAAGTGAGTTGCTCCACTAAACAATCTCTTTTTGATAATTTTATTTTTTTTTACATAAATTTCTTTTTATATTTCAGCAGTAACATATGTCGTTCAACATACAATCTTTGAAAAAAATTAAAAGTGTAAGGCTATGTCGTGCACTGTATTCGTTGCGTTCTGTTTTTGTTATCTAAATTTTCAAAATATATAGAAGTTAAAATTTGGTGTGAGCTGAATCCTAGTATTTCAATAAACGGCAAATACAAAAATTAACGGTATTTTTTATTTAACATAAATGTAAAAAATTTGAAACTCAAGGGGCCCAAGAGGCCCACCGCAACTACTGTCTAAATAAGAGGTGCGGTTACTGTATGGTTAAGTATGCGGTCATTGCGCTTACCGTGAGCTAAGAGGACAAAATATCACGCACGGTAAGATAACTTTACATATTTGACCTGTTAAAAATCAACTCTAGGGTAGGTGTACAGTTATTCTTTTTTTTGATCATTTAAAATGCTCTTTTTTTAAACCCCTAGCTATAGTTGCATTACATTCGTTATTCTTTTTAAAAAATTATGAGTATGTTTTGGTGTAAAGTGTGACTGTTTTCTTGATTTTTTTATACCATGTTTTAATGTTATTGTTATTATGCTATTATATTCTTGGTTTTTATGTTACAATATTTAACATAAATTCACAAAATGAGTAAAAGGACGAATAAGCAAGTGTCTTGATGTGTCTTTACTCTAGTTGCATGTAATGATTTTATAAGAAACCATGATGAGTGAATTATACCTATTTTATGAAACTTTCATTAGCAAGGCAGTTTAATTTTTCTAGTTTATATAACGATCACTTACTTATACTTCTACGAAAAAATTTAAATGTTTTGATTTATAAATTTCAAGTTTTTTAACTAGACTACTACCTTAATAATTTCGCAGTTTTATATACTGTTGATTTCGCAAGCTAATAGTTTCGAGAACTAGTATTACAGGTAAATAAAAAGTATAATATAGGTGAGTCGAAATACTAAAAAAACCTGTGGTAATTTTGACAACTT